ACCTCCAGCGGCAACAGGCATTTCCTGCTTACTAGTTCAGTTGGCATCTGGGCATGTGTCCTGGTGACAGGTCACACTGCGTGAGGTTGAAATCCTACACAATGCGCCCTGCTCCCATGTTTTTTGTTTTTTAATTTGACGCTGCCAAGAGTGCCTTTGTGCCCACACCTTCCAGGGCCCCCATCCTATGCCACGCATTGCAGTGGTCCAATGGAGCCATTGCCCTCTTTGCAACCAAGACAGTCCAAGTAGGACTTGGGAGGCAGGGGCCCTGCACTCCATCCTGAAGCCTGGATGTGGTGGGGGCTGGCGTGTTCCTTGAACGCTGCCACCATCAGGCCTGTATACTCCATGTCTGTGGACATGTGGACAGTACGTGGACTTATCTTTGCCCTGTGCTGTGCGCAGGACCCCTTTCCTGGGCTGAGCTTGCAGATGGCAACCTCCACAGGGTAGCTAAGTTTCTCTGGAGGGACTCTTAGCCTATTAGGGAGGTGGCATACTTGCTGGAGGCTGTAAGGAGTAAAATGGTAGGTGGGAGAGAAGGTAATAAGAGGGTCACAGTAGGACAGGCTGGGCTCCAGGGCTGCCCCTGAACTCTAGGGAGCTGCCAGGAATGCATGTAGCTCTGGAGAGCCAAGGGTTGCCAGGCAGTGGAAAAATTTGGGATCTTGCAGGAGCTAAAAATACAGTGTGGCAGCCCCTGCCTCCTAGTTCCGGAATCCTGCTCTTGCCATTTTACCCGCCCACCCATGTAAGACAAGCTCCCTCCTTTATGCCCCTCCCCCCCACACACACACACTGGCTCTGGGCCCAGAAGCACCCCAGCCCCTGTACTGTGCTGGCAGATCCCCTCTAAGCTATATCCCTACCCCAGGCAGCAGCCCCCCTCTAGGTGCCAGTACCTAGCTGTGCCTGCCCTTGCCTGCCTCTGCTCCAAGCCCCTTGGGTGCAGAGAACCCCAGAACCCAAGCTCAAGGCCCAGCCTGTTCCTCATGGAAAGCCTGAACTGGAATATGTCTTAGAACCCCAGGTCCAGTGGAATTTGGGGTGGGCAGGATGCCCTTCCCTATACTGCATGCAGAGCCCTCAACTAGCTCCTGGAGGCAGTGGTTGGTGTTTTCCTTGGTGTACAGATGAGGGAGTTGAGGCATGGGGGTCAAATGGCTCACTCAGGTCTCCCAGTAAGTGGGGACCCCCCCCACCTCCACCTTGCTCCAGGGCCTCGAGGAGCCATGTAGAGCCCCAGCCACTGAGCATAGCTTGGTGCCCATCTGGGCAGACCCCCTCTCTGGCTCAGTTTCTCTGTGCACAGCAGAGGCTGAGTGAGTGGTCTCTGAGGTCTAGGGGGTGCAGCTTTGGCCCTGCCCCCCTCCAACTCAGCCAACAGATGACTACCAGGCAGGGGCAGTGGCCTCTGGAGTCCCGGTGAGTCAGCATAGCTACCCAGGCATGTGGGATGGAGATGCCAGCATCCCCACACCAGGCTGGCCAAGAGCCAGTGGAGGAGACAGGCAGCGTCTTACTGAGAGCTGTGTTCTCCTCCAGGGGACTAGGTGAGTGCTCAAATCTGGGAGTGAGGGGAGACCCCCACTTTCAGGATCCAGTTTGAACTGGAAGGTCTGGCCTTTTCCTGTGGAAACCCAGGTTGGTGATAGAAAAAGTGACCCATAAGTGCCATGGGGACATCCACTAACAGGTGGGGTATGAGCTGCTCCCACCCCCAGCTTTAGGGACCTCATCTGCAAAGGCCCTGCCCACTGGCTTTTGATAGATACTGGGCGGGGGAGATTACCCTGTAAGCACGTAGGACACTTCTTAGTGCCCCGGCTTCCCAACTGCCTGAGGCTGGGTCTGGCCATAGAGCCAGATGGTGGAGGTCCTGTTCCCACAGGAATGCAGGATGGGAAAAACTGCAAATATAAATTCCTACTCCAAGCCGTGCCCCAGAGGCCACACCCAACTCCGGCCTGAGCCTGGATGTCCCTGCCCAGCCCCATCTCCACTAGGCCTGCCCTGAGGGAGAAGGGACGTGTGTCCGTGGCATTCTTGAGTGTGCGCTCTGTGCTCACTGCACCCACCGACTCCGGTTCCTCCATGTAGATCCCACTGCAGCCCCCTTTGCAGGTGAAAAGAGAAGCAGAGTAACTTGCCCAGGGTCACACAGCTGGTAAACCCAGCAGTGAGGCTTCAGCCCCCAGTCTGTTGACACCAGCACCTTCTGAGGTATTGTTTCACATGAGGCTCAAATCAGCAAACTGGATTCTCCAGTGCAGCATGGACAAGTGTGCAGCCACCTCCTCGTGGGGCAGGCAGGGGGTGTGTTGGAAGGTTGCTGTAACCAGGGATCAACCACCAGCCTTTGTGTTTGGCAGAGATCAAAGGCAGGCAGGGGGTGGGGAGAGCTTTATAGTTTTTAATAGAGAAAAGGCAGGTTCCCTGATGCTGTGACTGGAGGCCAACGGGAAGTGGAGTGTCTTACTGCTTAGAGGATTTGACTTTCTCTGTCTGGTCCTGAGTTAGAGACAAGGACAGAAGCTGTCAATCATTAATCCAGCCCCAGCTGTCAGGGCCGATCGCTGGGGTTTTGTTTGGCTTCCTGGCTGGTTGCTGTACACTGAGGGTTAGAGTGCTGTTCTGTGCTCAGCTAGCTGCTATCCATATGTGCTCAGTCTCATCCTGCAAAGAGGTGGACCAGCCCCGGCCCAGGCCATGGACCCTAAGTGAGGTTGGGCATCCAGGGCATAGCCAGCCAACTGCAAGGCTCTGCTCATAGACAGAAGGTCTCCTGCCAGTTGGGGCCTTTCAGGGAGTGAGCCTACAGCCCTGGGGCAGGGGTGCACAGTGCAGGCAGGACAGGGCAGTGCTGCAGGGGGCAGTCTTGGCATCAGTAAGCATCTTCACCTCTGTCTGGGGGACCCCGGGGCCTGGGCACAGCAGCTCTAGGCAGCTTTGTCTCAGAAAGGTTGGGTTCTTCTGCATGGAAGGAGCCTGGGACTCCTGGCTGGACAGGACACTGTGGAAGCCAGAGATCTGGCCTGAGAGAGGTCAGTCCCCATCCACTCAGCCTGTGCCAAGGGGACAGGGCCTGTAGCCAATGGAGGCGGAGGGAGGGAGGGAGGCCATTTCCAGGCGCCTCTTTAGGCAACACACAAGGTGGGGGAGTGCAGAGACCGGCGGCCTCACTCTGCATGGTGGTGGAGCAGCCGTGCCCTACCACCAACAAAGGCTTTGGAGACTTGAGGCTGCCAGGGAAATACCAGGGCCTCAACTGGCAGCTCAGCCATCCGCAGTGATGAGAAGCCGAAGACAGGGTCCTGAATGGGTGGGCAGAGGTGGCCGGAAGGTCTTACGCATTTGGGTGAGTGGATGGTGGTGGCTGACTGAGAAGTCTGGGCCTGTGGATGGACTTAAAGCATAGGGACCAAGGTAGGTCCAGCTCGGGACCCAGGGTGGTCCACCTGGACATCCCCTCACCACGCAGGTGAGCTTGGCGTCCCCGCCCCAGTCCCTCAGGTGCTCCCAGAGACACAGGTGAGGAATTTGAGGCTGAGACAGGATGAGTGATTGGAGTGTGGGCTGCTGGAGGGGCCCAAGCTAGATCTACATAGAGAGGACAGCCCTCTTGTCCACCTACCAGGCTGCCACCAGAAGGACCCACTAGCCCCAAGGGCAGTTAGACTGGTGGAAGATGAGGGACTGGGCAGGCAGCTCATTCTGTGCTGCTGGCTGGGTGGGGCTGCTTCAAGACACGCGCCCAGAGCAGGGGCCCAGTGGACCAGGGGTGAGGATGGTGGGCACTGGAGACCAAGAGCCAACTGGGAAGGCACCTGGGCTTTTGCACCCACTTGGCCATGTTCTCCTTGGGCAGGACTTGAAGCAAAGCCCCATTGCACACCCAGCGTTTAGCAGACTCGCAATGGATCCATTCACAGCTCAGTTTCCCCCAGCAGTGGAATTGTGGGCACATGACACAGCTTCCTGGGTGCTGCCTCCCACTCCCTATGTCCAGCGGGTTTGATGCCTGCCTTACAAGCAGTGGGGAGAGTAGGGGACTGGGCCCTCGGAAGGGTCTAGAGCACTGTGGAGTCAGGCCCGCGCAGCTCTGCCCCTCAGCGTTTCCCTCCTGCGGCTCCATGCTGCAGTTCTCAGATGCTAAATATAAGATCCCAGCCATACATGGTTGTGGGAGAGCTTGGGACGCCCCTGACCTTTGAGGCAGCCCCCAGGGACAGCGTTGCAGTCAGCTGAGCCCATGGGGGGCGGTGACAGCAGGGGTACAGTTTGCCTGTTCTGTGCTCCTGCTTTGGGGAAAAGCACATGTTTGCAAAACCTTCTGGACCAGGCTTGTCCTTCTTGTCCCCAGAGGACATTCCCTGGACTAGAGTCAGACCTGTTACCACTGAACCCAGGTGAACCTGCATGTGCCAAGGGCGTCAGCTTGTCTATGTGGGTCTCCCGCTCATCACTAGACAAGCTAAGGCCAAGGGCAGACAGGCAAGGCAGGCTGCTGCCCACTCAGGTGAAACCTGGGATTTCATCACACAGCATCTTCAGTCCATAATCCACCCCTCCTCCTGCAGCAGTCCTGAGGCTGTGGGCATAGGGAAGCGCCTGGGGCAAGATAAGAAAGCCTCAGAGATGCTGTTTCTGTTGTGTCATCACCACTGTGACAGTGGTATTTCAGCCTGTGTAGCCGCCCTCACCGCCCCCAAGTCCTCTCCAAGCCCATCCAACCAGGGATTTGCAGGCACAGCGCAAGTCAGAACCTCGGGGTCCTCGTGCACATATAGGGACCTTCCTGCCTGTGATTTAGTTGGGTGGGCCCAGGGGGAGTCCTTTTCGAGGTCAGGACCTAAGTGCAGTACCCACCCTCTCGGCACAGGACATCTGCCATATCATGAGTGGAAGGCCTGCTAGAGAAACTGAGGCAGTGGGCAGTGCCACTGATGACCACACTGGGCCCTGGCTGACGACCCTGTCTCTCTCTGGTCCTGCAGTTCGGCAAGATGTCAGTGAAGGAGGGTGCCCAGCGCAAATGGGCGGCACTGAAGGAGAAGCTGGGGCCACAGGAGTCAGACCCCACCGAGGCCAACCTGGAGAGTGCCGACCCTGAGCTGTGCATCCGGCTGCTCCAGATACCCTCTGTGGTCAACTACTCGGGTCTGCGCAAGCGTCTGGAGAGCAGCGATGGCAGCTGGATGGTGCAGTTCCTGGAGCAGAGTGGCCTGGATCTGCTGCTGGAGGCACTGGCACGGCTGTCGGGCCGTGGCGTGGCCCGTATCTCAGATGCCCTGCTGCAGCTCACCTGCATCAGCTGTGTGCGTGCTGTCATGAACTCACAGCAGGGCATTGAGTACATCCTCAGCAACCAGGGCTACGTGCGCCAGCTGTCCCAGGGTGAGCCATGGGGCACAGTCTGAGGACCTAGGCACAAAGAGGAGGGGCGGAGAGGTCCTGGGGCTGTGCAGGAAGCCCAGCATTGCAGGCGAGCAGGACTCGGAGCAGGACAGGAGCCACATCACTCACCCCAGTCTGAGGCTTCCAGGCTGCCTAGGTCCTTCCACCTCCTGCACCTAGATGTCGCCTCTGTGCAGTGATTCCACCAGGTCTATGCTCGCTCCATCGTCTACCCTCAAGACTCTAGTCCACACCATGTCCACCTGAGTGACCCCCACATACACTGCCTGGCTCCAAGACCTTCAACCTTAGCCCAGCAACAGTCCTTCAGGTGTAGCCTACAACTCTATGGCATTAGCCCCCACCTCCAGCACTGTCCCCAGTGTTCCCTCACCTTGCCACATCCCTCTGTTTCCACCCCTAGAAGACATCTCTGTCCCCAGCCCCTGGCCTCCACTTCTTGCACCAGCTGCTTTCTACCTTTGCATGCCCCATGCTTTACGTCCGGTTCATGGTGGCTCCCCCAGGAAACCTCCCTGGCTGTGGTCAGAGTTGGTCTTGACCCCTTGTGAGACCTAGTGGACAGTGGTCTCTGTACTTCCCTTGCTTGCTGGCTGTGATGCTCCAAGCCAGCTACCAGGTCCCACTGAGGCTCCCGGGGGTGGGCAAGAAAGCCAGAAAACCAGAGGCTGCTGGGCTCTGGTGGCTCATGCCTGTAATCCTAGCTACTCAGGAGGCAGAGACCAGGAAGTTCACAGTTCAAAGCCAGCCCTGGGCAAATAGTTCACAAGACCCGATCTCAAAAAAACCCATCACAAAAAAGGGCTGGTGGAGTGACTCAAGTAATGAAAGAATTAGAGCGCCTGCCTAGCAAGCATGAGGCCCTGAGTTTGAACCCCAGTGCTGCCAAAAACAAAACAAAACAAAAAGCCAGAGGCCACCCTATTTCTGCCCTGCCTAGGACCCACACCAATCTCAGCCTTTTTTGATAGAGGGCCTGGCTGTGGCCCTCCATCAAGTCCTTTGTGGCCTGGTCTCAGCAGGGCCAGAGGAGAGGCACCCCCCCGCCCCCAAAACTTTCCCAGCTTAGGATAGAGGAGGCAAGGGTTAATGAAGATGAGGAGGCATCCCAGGCTGTTTCATGAATGCAGTTGGTGTTGAGTTTGGAGAAAATTGGGTTTTCTCCAAAAAGAGAATCCATAGCAGAGGCTGGACTGGGCTAGCCTCCGTGTACGCAGGTGACAAGGGTCACCTGTCCCTGTCTCTGAGCCCTTCCCTGCAGGGTCTGGTTTTGTGGTCCAGGAGGCAGTGTCAGGGCAGTAGGAGAGGTCAGCATGGTAGGCTTGCCCTGTGCCCAGCACCTGCTGTGGGCTGTGGGTAAGCAGAGGGTGCCCCCTAGTGTCCACCTGCCAGGCAGCACTCTGGATTCCAACCCTGAGCTCAGCGCACAGGTGTGCAGAATAATGGAGAGGGTGGATGGTGGGCCCACTGAGACCTCTACCCCTTGGCAGCCCTAGACACATCCAATGTGATGGTCAAGAAGCAGGTGTTTGAACTGCTGGCCGCCCTGTGCATCTACTCACCTGAGGGCCATGGGCTGACATTGGATGCCCTGGACCATTACAAGGTAAACAGTGGGGGCCTGGGCTGGGCTACGTGGAGCCTCCCACCTGGGCACACACTGACCCTACCCACCCTGCAGACCGTGTGCAACCAGCAGTACCGCTTCAGTGTCATCATGAATGAACTGTCGGACAGTGACAATGTGCCCTATGTTGTCACCCTGCTTAGCGTGATCAATGCCATCATCCTGGGCCCCGAGGACCTCCGAACCCGCACCCAGCTGCGGAGCGAGTTCATAGGTAACCACACTAGTCCTGCCTCTATGCTCCCAGGGCTGTAGAGTTCCCTGCTGCCAGGTAACTGGCAGACCTTCCCAGCTGCCTGCTGGGCCAGAGCAGCCCCAAGAAAGGCACTATCCCAGGGCCTGGGAGCCTCCTGCCACCACATGCTCCTGTAGTGGACACAGGCCTCAGAGCATCTGGATGTCAGACCTGAGGCTGGGTGGGTAGAGGAGAGAGGCTTGGTCCCCAATTCTAGCCCTGCACCCTCTCTCAGTGACTACTGATCAAGCACCACCATGTCTCTAGCACGTGCCCTCCTCTGGAACTTCAGAACCCCAGCATCCTGTGAGCTGGTGCTGTGTGTATACCAAGAGGAGGGTGAAGGAGTCAGATTCAAATGCAGGTGACGGTGATGCATAGCTATAATCCCAGCTTCTTGGGAGGCAGAGATAGGAGAATCTCAGTCCAAGGCCTTCCCAGGCAAAAGCATGAGACCCTATCAGAAAATCTAAAAGCAAAAGGACTGAGGGCATGGCTCAAGTGGCAAAGTGCCTGCCTGGCAAGTAGAAGGCCCCAAGTTCAAACCCCAGTGCCTCAAAAAAAAAAAACAAGGTGCAAATGTCCCAGAGGCAGCCTCCAGACCTGACCCCTATCCCTACCTCCACAGGGCTCCAACTGCTGGACATTCTGACCCGGCTGCGGTGAGTCCCTGCTGTGGCTGGTCCTGCCAGCTGCCCCCGGCCCCCTTGCTCCCAAAACCAGAGCCACCTTCCCTGGGTCTCACTGCCTGGCCCAAGAAAGACCTCCAGATGGGTAGGAAGGTGGCTCCTTTGGGCCCACCTGAGGCCAGGTTTCAGGTTAGCCACCAGGCACAATACAAAACATTCAGTGTATTCAGATTTGACATACACAGTAATGTTTTGTACAAGTATATCGTAAAAATTGTGGGTCGTATTTAACACTCAGTTCCTAATCCTTTACCTGAAACTCAGGTGCAATGGATGTCTGTAGCTTTGGTTGTGAATATGGCAGGCAGAGAATTCACCTAGCTAAGGACCTCTATTCTCACCACAGTCAGGCATTCTGGGGGCTCCCACTCCAGGGAATTCAGTGTGAGGAGCCCTGCTAGCTCAGCTTTTGTGGGACTGGCTTGGGACAAAGCTTTGTGAGTGGGACCTGTACCCAGGGGGCACTGAAGGGGCCAGCCCTGCCTGCCAAGGGCTCTGTTCATTGGCCAGGCTGAGATGTATAGCAAGGTCTGGACCCAATGCATACTCAAGCCCTGTCCTCCCCATGCCTCTGATGCCATGGTAGATAATCCTCCAGTGTGGTCTTGACCATGCTCTTCCATCCCCCAGAGGAGGGCCTGGCTCCATTCTGTGCCTGCCCCTCAGGAAAACCTCCCCTTCCCTCCCTTGGGGCTAGAGATGCCCAGGCGACTGCCATGCAGCCTGGCAGGGAACAAGGCTCATATCTGTGAGCCTGCACTCAGAATGACAATCTGGTTGCAGTGCCATGTGCCAGCCATATAGCCAACCATGGGCATGTCCAGGAGTGCTATCAAATGTCCTCAGGCAGCCTGGACAGGGGTGGATGTGCAGTAGGCCTTGGGCTGCCCCATCTTGCATCCAAGAAGAAGGTGGGGGTGGGGGTAGCTAGTGGGAACAGCAAGTGAGCCCCTTCCGCCTCAGGGATCTGGAAGACGCTGACCTGCTGATCCAGCTGGAGGCCTTCGAGGAGGCCAAGGCTGAGGATGAGGAGGAGCTGCAGCGCATCTGTGATGGTGTCAACATGAACAGCCACCAGGAGGTCTTTGCCTCCCTGTTTCACAAGGTAGGCCTGGGCAGGGCAGGGCCAGGCCCAAGATGGCCTCTTCTCTGCCTAGGTCAGACCCCACCATGATAGGACAACAGCACAGAGCTAGAGCCTCACTGGGTAGAAGGGGGCAAGGCAGGGGGCTGGGCTAGTCTGTTCTAGAGATTCAGGACAGGATTCCATAGGCCCAGCGTGCCCCATCTGGCCATGCCAGTACTCACCCCAGCTAGCTGACCACCATTGGAGACTTCAGGGTGATTAAGGCCAGGTGAGGGTCCAGGAAGCTGAGTTTGAGGAGTATCCAGGCCCTCCTCTCAGTCACTGAACCTCGTGGCTCTCAGCCTGGGGTGATGTGTCCCCAGGTCATCTGACCATATCCATACACATTTCTGAGTGTGACAGCTGGGCAGGGTATGCTCCTGGCATTGAGCAGGTAGAGACCAGGGATACCACTCAACACCTCATAAAGCACGGGACTGTCCCCAGTGTCACCAGTAAAGCAGTCAAAGAGCCCTCCCTCTGAATCACTCATCATCACCAGGGTTTTGGCAAGGTGATGAGGGGCTATAGGGTTGGACACCCCAGCTCGTGGGCCAGTGGGTAACAGCCTACCCAGTGTGGGGACAGATGCTGACCCGCCCCTTATCACCCACCCAGGTGAGCTGCTCCCCAGCTTCAGCTCAGCTGCTGTCAGTGCTGCAGGGCCTCCTGCACTTAGAGCCTGCTGGCCGCTCCGGTCAGCTGCTCTGGGAGGCCCTGGAGAGCCTAGTGAACCGGGCTGTACTCCTGGCCAGTGATGGTGAGTGGCTAGGGTAGACAGGGCATATAGAGGGACATCTTTGGCCATGTGGGGGGCCCACCATGGACCCCTAACCTGCCCTTGCCCCAAGAAGGTGGCCTTCTTCTGCCCCTGTTCCCTTCCCTGGCCATCTTCCGCGACCCTGGCTATCTTCCTGATGCAGCCCAGGAGTGCACCCTGGAGGAGGTGGTGGAGCGACTGCTATCTGTCAAAGGGCGGCCCCGACCAAGCTCCCTGGACAAAGCCCACAAGAGTGTCCAAGCCAACCTAGGCCAAAGTCAGAGGGACAGTTCTCAAAACACAGCTGCCCTCACAGCTGCCATGGAGGACCAGCAGCCAACACTGGCTTCTGCCTGCCAACATGTGATCAACATCCAGAGCTCCAGTGTCAAAATGGCTCCACAGCCAACTGCACCCAGCCCACCCCCACCTGCACCACCACTCCCTGCTCCACTGCTGGGCCCCCTCCATCCCCACCTCCCCTGCCAGGCATGGGAGCCACATTCCCTTCAGCACCCCCTCCACCTCCACCCCCACCCCCACCCCTGCCAGGCCCTGGAGCCGCGAATCTACCAGTATCCCCTCCATCCCCACCACCCCTGCCCGGCTCCTTCCGCACCCTGCCCCCACCCCCTCCACCACTCCCAGGCATGGGATGCCCACCTCCTCCACCTCCCCTACCACCAGGAATAGGGTGGGGACCCCCTCCACCTCCCCCTCTGCCTGGCACCTCCCTCCCCCCTGTGGCGGGTGGTGTGGAGGAGATCATTGTGGCCCAAGTGGACCACGGCCTGGGCTCAGCCTGGGTCCCCAGTCACCGGCGGGTGAATCCGCCTACGCTGCGCATGAAGAAGCTCAACTGGCAGAAGCTGCCATCCAATGTGGCCCAAGGTGAGGCTCTGTTCCTGTCCCCAAACTAGAGCAGCCGCCCCTTGAGAGGGGCAGATACACTCGTGACATATGCATTCACCTGCCTGTCTCAACTGTGTGTGTCCTGCCATGCATGTGCCTGCTTTTGCATGGCCTGGGCAGCCTGGTCCCTGCTCAGGGCTCAGTTAGGAGGAGCAGAGCAGAGGCCACTTCCAAGAACCATCTTATCCTGCACATGTCCCTGTGGGCAATGCGTGTCTCTGATGCCACAGTCCCTGCCCTTCCCTGCCAGGCCCCTTTGTGCGCAGAACCCAGGGTCCTGAGAGTGCTCTGGTGCTTAGCTAAGCCCAAGGCCAGCCAGAGACCAGGTTGCCTGCCAGGATGGACACATGCACGTGTGTCCACATGCATGCATATGGCAGGACAGTGGCTCGGCGGTTTCCTTGTCAGGTACTTGTTAAGTACCTGCTATACGCTCAACCCAGGCTGGACTCCAGGCAAAACATCCTTTACAGCCCTCAGAGAACTATGCCCACCAGACACAGGACCCCAGGCCCTGGCCAAAAATGAGCTTCATGGCAGTGCTCCTCACCTACCCCTCCCCTGCAGAACGCAACTCCATGTGGGCGACGCTGAGCAGCCCTGGCACTGAGGTGGTGGAGCTGGATTTCTCCAACATAGAGCGGCTCTTCTCCTTCCCCACGGCCAAGCCCAAGGAGCCCTCAGCTGCTCCAGCCAGGAAGGAGCCCAAGGAGGTGGGAAAGGGATGAACCTAGATCCAGGGAGTGGGGTCACCCTATGCTGCCCTCCAGGTAACAGCCAGGGGCGGGTTTTCCAGGTCACTTTTCTGGACTCCAAGAAGAGCCTGAATCTCAACATCTTCCTGAAGCAGTTTAAGTGGTGAGTGTCACAGCTGTCAAGCATTCACCTGAGCCTCTAGCTCTACCCAGCGGTGCCCTCTGCAGGCCTCCTTGGGCAGTGCATGCTCCATCCCCAAGGTGGAAATGGGTAATGGTCACAGACCACCACAGCCAGGGCCCCTAAAGGCCACCAGTCCAGGCTCCTGGGGAAAACTGGTGCCCAAAGAGCAGCTGTTGCAGACCCCAAGGCCACAGATAAGCCATGACCAAGTTAGGGTGAGGACTTGACCCTGCCTCTCAGTCCCCAAGGTCTTCCCTGCTTCAGGTATTAGGTACTGGGCTCTGCCAGGGAGTTTGCTGGCTGCCCCTGAGCTGGCCTCCCATCTCCTGGAGGTCTCTGGGAGGGAAGCAGACAAGGAGAGGTTGGGAAACTCACTCCCTCACACTTGTTCTCTCACCCTCCCCAGCTCCAATGAGGAGGTCACTGCCATGGTTCGGGCCGGTGACACAACCAAGTTTGACGTGGAGGTTCTCAAACAACTCTTGAAGCTCCTTCCGGAAAAGCATGAGGTGAGCCAGGGCCTGGCCCACCAAGGAAGCAGGGAAGGGGAGGGTCCCAGCACCACCCTTCGCTAGCAAAGAGCCCAGGAGGAGCTGTAGAGCCCTGCCAGTATGAGTGGGTGCAGGCCAGGTGAGCAGGTTGTGGCCTGCAGCAGTCCAGCAGGGCTTCCCGAGTTGGGGAGAGCTGGTGTGCTGTGTGTGGGATCCTACACATGGGCCTTCTTCTGGCAGATTGAGAACCTGCGTGCATTCAAAGAAGAGCGTGCCAAGCTGGCCAATGCCGACCAGTTCTACGTCCTCCTGCTGGACATTCCCTGGTGAGCATCGCAGCTCTAGGACCCAGAGTGCAGCCCACAGGGAAGGAAAGGTCAGGGAGAGCAAGGTGGGAGCTAAGCCCAGGTGTGGAGGAGAGGTGCCACGTGGACCTCGTTAGAGTTCCAGGAGGAATGAGGCAGTCATGCAGACCGGTTTCCAAATGTCACTCGTGCCTCTCATCTCAGCCCTTCCCCTCAAGGAAGGGGTCTGCTGAGGCTGTGATCTTACTGGGCAGCCCCCATGCCTCCAGGGCTGCGAAGGCTATTGGGTTTTCCTCTAGGTCCCTGCCCAGGCCCCTCTGTCCTGGGAGCAGGCCCAGGAGTGCCCTGCCCACCAAAGTCAGAGCTCCATGCCTGGCAGACTTCTGAGCCCTAGCACTGGGAGCCCAGGAGGCCTGGGGAAGCCTCTTGGCCCTGATCCCCTGCTGTACTGCCCAGCTACCAGCTGCGAGTGGAGTGTATGCTGCTTTGCGAAGGCACGGCCATCGTGCTGGACATGGTGCGGCCCAAGGCCCAGCTGTTGCTCACCGCCTGCAAGAGTGAGTGGGGCCCAGGAAGACCGAGGGGTCAGGCAGGAGGCGTGTGCAGGAGGGACAGGCGTGTGCGGGAGAAGATAGTTTGGGCCCCTGCTGCAGCCAGTGTCGTGATAGCCATTGAGCGTGCCTGAGTGTGCCAACCCTCACCCCCCCACACCAGAAGCCACCCTGTCACCACCATTGCTGCCACTTGAGGCACACGCATAGATACACATGCCTTCACACACACTGAGCCTCACGCACATGCCGTGCACACAGACACAAGCATGCATGCATACTCACGCGCAATCACATACACGTGCACATATATTCAGATACACGTGTACACACACTGCTGTCTGTGAACAAAGAATGGCTGGGACTTGCATGGCCACAGGGCAGGGACTTAGGTCCACATGGCCTATGTGCAGCTCATTTCTGTTAGGCACACCCAGTGGATATTCATTCCCATCTCAGCTTCTCAGCCAGGAAGCCAGGCAGGTCCTCCTTACAGCCTCAAGGGATGGTCAGTTGAGAATCAAGGTGGCCACAGGTTCCAGAAGGTTCTTCTTAGCACCCTGGTGTCCTCACTCAGAGGACAGTGTGGTGACCATCATCTGCTGGAGTTGTGAGGGTTCAATGAACGCTGACTTTGGGGCGAGACTTCCAGAGCCCCTGAGCATGTTGGTGATGAAGAGGCCATACTCCACAGAGCCCTGCCCTTGCCCCTGTCCCTGCCCCTGTTCCATGTCCTTCCTAGTGCTGAGCTGAGCCTGGGGAGGGGGCCTCAGTCCTCGGTCCCCTCCCTCAGCCGTGCCTACCTGTCTATAGGCCTGCTCACCAGCCACCGGCTACCCATCTTCTGCCAGCTGATCCTGAAAATTGGGAATTTCCTCAACTATGTAAGTCGGGGCTGCTCTGTGGCCTGCCCAGTCCTCCTGGAAGCAGAACTCATTCCCCACCCCTCACAGGGCAGCCACACAGGTAACGCTGACGGCTTCAAGATCAGCACCCTGCTGAAGCTCACAGAGACCAAGTCCCAGCAGAACCGTGTGACACTACTGCATCATGTGCTAGAGGTGTGCCACTGGGGACCTGCAGGGTAGAGTGCCCCTGCCCCTGCCCCAGCCCCACTGCCCACTACTGGCCTCTGGCCAAGCAGCCTCAGCCTGAGCTGCCCTGCTGGATCTCCCTGGCATATCTCCCTCCTGCAGTTTCCAGGGGCCTCTCCAGGATACTTGCCCCAGTCTGGAGTGGGGCAGTATTTAAGAACAGGAAAAAAAAGCTTTAAGATCACAGCTACGCTCATGGGAAGGCTCAGAGGCCCCAGGCAGGCCCTAGGACTGAGGGTTTCCTGCCTTAGTTACCAAGGGTTAAAACTGGGTGGGGCATACCCAGATCCGGGGAGAAGCCAAGATGGGTCTCACAGAACACATCCTGTTGCAGGAAGTAGAAACAAGCCACCCAGATCTCCTGCAGCTGCCCCAGGACCTGGAGCAGCCCGCTCAAGCAGCAGGGTAGGTGCTTTCACCTGCCCACCTCCTCAGCAGCCCAAGGTCCTGACCTGTGTGGTCATACAGCTACTGCACAATCCGGTTTAGATAAGGACATGAGGCCTAGAGGGGGCAGGGTGACCTGGTCTGGCATGGCCTCTTTACAAGGCTACCCTTGCCTGTGAACAAGGCCATGCACCCTCATTGTGCAGATGAGGAAACTGAGGCTTCAGGAAGTGGTGTCACCTTCCTGGGGTCCCATCCCCTGCGGGAAGCTCTGAAAGGCAGCTGGACACCCGATTCCAGGGCTCCACTGGCTGGGAAGCTTTTTTGGTCTAAGAGCTGCTGGGCTTCAAGGCAAGGAGGGCTGGCTAACCACGAGGAGGAGTTGGGGTTCCAACACAGGCAGTGAGCACCCGTTGTATAGGGCACCTAGCCTCCTACACAGGGGCCTCAAAGCTGACTTGAGCCTGGCACCTGGAGTGTGCAAATTGCAAGGTACTCGGGGCTGTGGTGAGGGCTCCACCGTCCTGGGGGTGTGCAGGTGAGGGCCGTTCGTGGCTGTGTATCAGCTGCCCCTGACGTGGCCTTTCAGGATCAATTTGGAGATCATCCACTCAGAGGCCAGTGCCAACTTGAAGAAGCTTCTGGAAACGGAGCGGAAGGTGTCTGCCTCTGTCCCAGAGGTGCAGGAGCAGTATGCAGAGCGTCTTAAGGCAAGCTGGGCAAAGGGGACTCTGGGGCTGGCAGAAGAGGCCAAGGAGGCAGCACTGAGTCTAGGACCTGCCAGGTGAAAGAATGAGCCAGGGCAAGCAGCAGGTGAGCGTGGAGGCCAAGATAGGAGAAAGCACAGCAGAGGGGCTCCGAGGATGGCCTCACTATTTCCTGGCTCTACCGTTTCCTGAGCAAAGGGGTCTCTCTGATCCTGGGGCAAGACCCAGGGCACAGGTCCCATCCTGCACTGAGACTTCTGCCTGTGGGGCCTGTGCCTCTAGCCTTTACCTCCCACCCTGCCCTTGGGTCCCTAGCCAAGAATAACTGGGTAATGACAAAGTTCCATGCCCCCAGGCCAGCATCGAAGCTTCCAGGGCTCTGGATGAGGTGTTCGAGGCCATCGAGCAGAAGAAGCTGGAACTGGCCGACTACCTGTGTGAAGACCCCCAGAAACTGTCCCTGGAGGACACATTCAGCACCATGAAGACCTTCCGGGACCTCTTCACCCGTGCCCTAAAGGTGAGCCCAGGAAGGACAAAGGGCTGCCTAAGAGCAAAGTGGGTTCTCATGCCCCCTCGCCATGGAGAAGTCACCCCTCAACATGGAGGTGGTGGTGGATGCAGCTGTGTGAGCTGAATGCACCTGGTGCTGCTGGGGAAGGAACATGCCCACCATGCCCTAAACCCAGGCCTACTGGGCTGGCAGGGGGCTGGAGGACTGGGGTGAAAAGGCACCTGTCTGCCTGAGCAGGAAAACAAGGACCGGAAGGAGCAGATGATGAAGGCAGAGAGGAGGAAGCAGCAGTTGGCGGAGGAGGAGGCACGGAGGCCAAGGGGCGAGGATGGGAAGCCTGGTGAGGCTGGGGCAACATGGAGAAAGACAGGGCCTGGGACCCAGATGGGGACAGAGGGGAAGGCTTAGGTGGAACATCTGTCCTTCCTCCCCCAACTCTTACAGGGCTGCCCCCCTGGGGGCCAGGGGGTGGGCTCGAGGGCCACTGAGTGGCTTTCTGAGGCTCTCTGGCTCTGCAGTCAGGAAGGGGCCCGGGAGGCAGGAGGAGGTATGTGTCATCGATGCGCTGCTGGCGGACATCAGGAAAGGCTTCCAGCTGCGGAAGACAGCCCGTGGCCGGGGGGACACTGAAGGAGGCAGCAGGACAACCTCAGCAGACCCCCCGAGGGCCACAGAACCAGGTGAGACCCTGGCCTGCCTCTTCCCCACCTTCCCTCCCACCGTCCCCACCCTGTGGAGGAAGCCCTCTGGGACATCAGGAAAGCCCTCCCCCCTGCTGCCCTGGGGCACTAAGGGAGGGGACAACAGAGGGACTGGCCAGGCAGGGGAAGCTCCGATGAAGCCTGGATAGAGGTCTCTGCTGCTGATGTGGACATTCAACCCCTGGGCCGCCAGGATCGACAAGGCCTGGTGGCCCATGGACAGATGCCCCTGGGGCTCAGAGACCCTGAGGTTGTGGGACAGGCAGACTGGGAGAGAGCATACCTGGTGGCATCCTTGGGGCTCCGCAGACAGGGGGAGCATATGTGTTCACTTGGACGTTTCCAGCTGTCCCATGTGTGAACAGAGCAAGGACACTGGGCCCAGTCCAGCCTATGGGAAGCCACACTGGGGGCATTAGACAAGTTTGGGAGATCAGGAAGCCTTCCAGGGCCAGGATGGCTCAGGATTGGGCTCTGCCCTTCACTGACACACCTTCCATCTACAGTGGCCACCAGTGACCCTGTACGAGGCCCAGTGAATGGCACAGGCCACCATGCCTCAGAGCCTGGTCCAAATGCTGCAGCCACTGGCAAGTCACAGGACTGGGATCTTATAGATGCTGTGGCCCCCAGTCCCCAGCCCTCCAAGGAGGAGGGTGGTCCCCCAGCCCTGGAGAGGTGTTCCTCCTGGTATGTTGATGCCAGCGATGTCCTGGTCTCTGAGGACAGCCTGGACCCCCAGCCCTCTGAGGGGGGTTGGCCAGTGACTCTGGGAGGCTCTCGGGCCCTGCAGCCCATCCAGTTCTCCGGAAACAAGCCCCCTGGGGAAGAGAGCTTATGCCAGAACACTAAGGACCCTGCAGCCTTGCACAGTGTCCACCAGGCTGAAGCAGACAGCACAAGTGAGGAACCAGAGTACACAACTGTCCACGGCCGCAGTGCCAGCCTCCCTACTACAGGCCTTGGTGGTGGTGATGAGGACGAGGAGGACACAGCCCCAGAATCTGCCCTGGACACATCCCTGGACAAGTCCTTCTCTGAGGATGCAGTGACGGACTCCTCAGGGTCTGGCACCCTCCCCAGGGCCCGAGCCTGGGCTTCGAAGGGGACAAGCAAGCGAAGGAAGAAGCGCCCCTCGAGGAGCCAGGAAGGTAACTTGGGGGGAGATCAGGGCATGCAAGCGGGGCTCGGGGAGTCTGGCCACATGGTCAAAGTTCACCATCCCACACCAGGGCCCTGGACCTCTTCCGGCCATCCAGCTGGTCTCTTTTCCCCATGGGGTGCTGCGGGCTCCACCAGCATCCAGGAGCAAGGGTGATTCTGGGCACACTGCATATTACACAGGAGAGCAGCTTTGGGGCCACCGCCTGTGTTGCTGCACCCTAACCACTAATTCTTGCCTTCACATCCATCCTGCAGGAAGCGGGTGGGGGCCCCTTAAGCCTTAGCTGCTGCAGTGTCAGATCTGGCACCAGGCCAGGTTATAGCTGCATTTGGCTCAGTGGCTAGAGAACTGGGGATATTGGTGTGGCTGGTCAGGCCCCAGTGGCCCTCACCAGCTCCAAGCTCAGGGCTGCTGGCCTGTGATAAGCTGCTGAGTGTGTTTCTTTTATTTGAAAGCAGAGGTTGCCCCTGATTCTGATGATAATAAAACAAAAAGGCTGTGTGTGATCCAGTGAGGTATGTACACAGCCCAGTGCTCTGTGTAAACTAACGGTGGCAGCGGGTGCTGGGGTCTGAGCCTGCTGCCTATCCTCCTGGACACTAACCCTGGCTTCTCTCCAGCCCACTAAGTGTGTCAGCATCCCCCTCCTGTGGCCCTCGGTGGTGGGCTCCTTCACTGTCCCTGCCCCTGCTGGGGAAGGTCACCAGCCAAGCCTTGCTTGCCCAGGGTCTCCTGTGTCATGGCCAGATGCAACCTTGGAGCTGGCCTCCAGGCAAATGGGCTCCAGAGAATGGAGTAGACAGAGCCAAACTGGGCTCCCTGTTGGAGTGGGACACCAGAGCCTCTGTGAGCAGTGTGAGGTGTTTGGGGATGGCTCCATCTCCTGACCAGCAGGATGGGCTAAGGTTGCTTCTGTCTGTGTCTTAGCCCTAATCACAGCCCTGCCTACTCTGTGGCTTTACTGACCCCAGCTCCCCAGGGGATGGCTTCACTCTGAGTCTGTGCACAGGGCTAGGCGTGATAGGGCTACTCCAACTCTTCTGTCACCTAGATGCTGGCCAAGCACTTCCCCAGGAAGACTGGGAAGATAGGGATGGTCCCAAGGGTAGACACTGCCAGGGACAAGGGTGGATGGACCTCATCTGCTCCCTATGGCCAAGTACTAAAGACTGCAAGATAATTGTTTAGTTGCTGGCTCCGTAGGTCTTCTGGGACTTTGTACATGGGCAGGACATAACTGAGAAGCAAGAGATGTGGCAGGAGCAGCCTGGGCCCTGTTGGCCCCAGCCTGCACCAGATGGAGGAAGATTCAGCACAGAGGGTGGGAAAACCCAGCCCACACATGAGCTCCAAGGGCACAGGCTGAGAGAATCCTAGCACCTCCAGCCCTGGCACTGGGACCTGGTGACTGCTGGGCCAGTGGCTTGGATCAAGGCACATGAGTGAGGTCTACTGGTACAGTGGAGGCAAGACCAGAACTTTACACTTTGCCATCATTATAGGGCCCAGTCCTCAGGCTTGCTGGGTCCTTTGCTGCCCAGAGTTAGCATCTGAACCTGGCTCCTTGGACTGAAACACCAGCCTACTTTGTAGAAGAGCACTAGGATCCCACCAGAGCTAGACTGACCTTGTAGCCTCACCTCACCTGCTGTCCCATGTGGGGGTGGAGGGGGGAGAATGGTAGTGCAGCATGTGGTCATGGGTTTACAGAGCCAGAGTCCCCTGTAGCCACGGTCCAATGAGAGATCACTGTGCCAGGTGTCATGGCTGCTCCACTCCTGGGATCACTTGGGTCAGTGTGGGCATGACCCAACCTACCAGAGCCCATTCCAGTGGCCTAGGGCAGGAGGAAGAGCCCACCTTCTCCCTCCCAGCCCTTTTGCTTTGAGTTTGTTTTTCAGATGGGGTCTCACACTTGTGCCAGGGCCAGTCTCAGACTACAGTCTTCCCAAGTAGCTCCCAAGTAGCTGCTATTGCAGGAGTGTGCCATCACACCTGGCCCTCCAGCAGTACCTTCTGTAGCCAATGCTTCTGAGTTCTTGGAGATGAGGTCCTATCCAGAAGCATACTGTTTGGTGGTCACAGCTCTTTGGTGTCCTCTGTTCTAGCACATTTCAGCCCCCTTTTGCCTTACTGAATGTGACACATTAGAAGATACCTTGACTTTGGGTGTGTCCCCCCAAGTATCCATTGAATTGGGGCACAAACTCACCAAGCACCAAGGAAGGGCTAGGGGTCCTGGGTCCCATTGTTCTTGATAGCTGCACTGGTCGCATGGCTAGAGGAGTCTCCATAGTCCTCCCCATGGTGCAGCCTGTAGTGATCCTGACAGCCAAGTGCCCTCTTCCTGACCCTATGGCACCACAGTTTGTACCAAGATTTCCTGTCCACCGTCCCTTCTAAACCTTTCCCTCTCCCCCTTCTGTCTGAGTTATGTGAGTCTTCAGTGGGCCCAACAGGCCAGCTCCTGTCCTGTTTCTCTAAGCAGCCCCTCTCCTTGGCACAGCCCATGGTTCCTGGATTTGCCATGGCCCTGCTTGACCATTCCAGGCCACCTGCAGTAGGGACTGCACTGAAGTCCTTCAGAGTAGTCTTTTGTCTCCTGAGCAGTAGTTCTCAAACCTGAGCCTGTCCCTGACCCTGGAAGCTCACCCAGCTCTGAGGTAGCAGAGAGGTCAGGCTTTTCAAACCAGATAGCACAAAGGGTGTTGGGGTCAGGGGTCTGCAGGGCCAGGTGAGGAGCTGCCACCTAAGTACTCACCTGGAGAAAGAGCAGGCAGGACCAAGTCTAGCACAAGAAGCCAGTGGGCAGTGATGGAGGGAGCTCCAGGTTAAGGTTCAGAAAAATGTAGGCAGTGTGCTACATGGACCCCACCACAGAGGAGGGAAGCAGGTTGAGGGTGCCAAGCCTCACTGAGATGCAGCCTGTGCAGGAGCCAGACTGTTGACCTCATCTTGCCACTCTCCACTTGGATGAGTTTTGCTGGCCCAGAGAGAGAGACTGGGGTCAGAGCAGACCTGAGATGGCACAGCCTTGGCAGTGGTGATGGAGGAGTGCAGGAAGCTCAGACCCAGAAGTGGGCACCAGAGCTGCTCCTGCAAGGCTGCTCCTAACTGTGTCATTTCTTCCTCCAACAGGCCTCAGGCCCAGGCCCAAAGCCAGGGGAGCTCCTGCTCTGGCCTCAGCACAGCAGTAGGTGCTGGACGTGCTTCGTAGCAAGACCCCTTGGGGCCAGGCTGGGACTGAGCCCTGCGAAACTGAAACTCTGTGCCTTCCCCTTGGGCCCGCCTTGGGCATCAGGGCTGAGCCTGGTCTGGCACCCCCTGGATCATCTGCACGCACACAGCCTCCTGGTCTGCTTTGTAAATCACAACCACAACCCCGCACTGTGCGTGCCACAGAGGCGGGGCCTCCTGTCTGTGGCTGCATTACCCCTTGGTCCTAGGGAGATGGAGCCCTCTGTTATGGGCCCAACTTCCTCAACCCTGCCTTCCATCAGCTTGGCTGGTTTTTAATTGAAATATGATTCTGTCGTTATTCTGAGGTGGCTGAGTTAGGGATGGTGAAAAAGCAGGCTAGTGCCATGAGCAGGCCAAGGCCCCTACCCTTGGAGTCTGGCCCCATCGCAGCATGCCAGACCAAGGGTGGGGCGGAGTCTGCCTCATGGCCATAGCTAGGCCCACCCACACTGGCCATTTTGTCAACAGAGAATGGCTGGCCCAGCCAGGGGGAATCTCAGGGGACAGGAAAGGTCCTTCTGAGGGTCTATAGGTTGACTGTAGCAGCTGCTGCCTTCCTTAGTGTCCACCCAGCAGGCAGTCTGCCCAGCCCCCTGCCCTCCAGGTGTACACTGCCAAGCCTGGAGGCCTGTGGGGGCATTGGCCATTAAAGAGCAGACTTAGCCTGACATGACTGCTGGGTTCAGAGACCACAGGCGTCAGGGGAGGGGTGGGGCAGGGGCTGGACAATGCTTGAAGGTCCTGGCTGTTCTGTTGCCGTCCCCTCACAGCACTGCAGGGTCATGGGGGATAGGCAAGGCGTGAACAGAATGGGCTGATGGAAGGGTGGGAAGTGGGTGAGTAGGCCAGAGTGTGCACTAGTGCCTGGGTAGTGGGTAGGCGAGTGGCCAGTGAGGCCTACTGCCCTGTAAAGTGGGGTAGGAGGAGCTGGTGTGGGGAAGCATTGTGTGGGTGGTGTGTACAGAGGGTAGGGCTTGTGCCCCATGCCAGGTCCAGGCTCTCTCCCTGGTCCACTGCACTCTTCTGGGTCTCCAGATCCTCCAGCACCCCATGTCTCCACCAGACAGCAGGTTGGGGCCAGAGGACAGGCACTGTCTGTCTCCCTCAGGGGGTCACCCCTGCTGCTGGCAGTGTGGGGGAGGGCAACACTGAGTGAAGGGGAAGAGTATACAACAAATACCTGTCACAGTTTTTTAAAGTCGGCCAAGCATAGTGGTTCATGCCTATAATCCTAGCTACTCGGGAGACAGCCGGGAAGATTAGGAGCTCAAGGCCAGCTTAGGCAAGGTTAGCAAGGCCCTATCTCAAAAAAAACTTTTTTTTTTTTAATTTTAAATGGGGTTGGGGTCGTGGCTCAAGTGGTAGAATGCTTGCTTGCCTGTCAAGTGTGAGGCCCTGGATTCAATCCCCAGTACAGCCAAAAAAATAATAAAAATCTAAAAAGTTGTGAGTGGGGGTCTGGCCCGTGTTTTTGTGGTCATGATCAGTATAATCCTAGAATCAAACCAGGCAACAGCCTTGAGTGGGGAACAGTGGTGAACTTAGAAGGTACTGGTGAAGGGCCCAGGCAGGGGAGCCCTGCTGGAAGGAGGGTTCCTTCCATCTGGGTAGCCTCAGCCCCGGAGGAAGCTGGGTACCACAGCAGGGGCCTTGCTTCCAACAGACAGGAAATGCTTCTCGCACCACTGCCTATGCCCAGACACCTCATGCACTAGCTAGCCCAGGCCTCCTGCCCTCTCTGGAAGCTGCCACCCGCCCACCCCCTCTCCCAGCAGCCTGTGTTGGGCCAGATTATCCCCCCAGAATCTCCCTGAGCATTGGCCAGGGAGTCTGTGCACAAGGCAGGCATGAGGCCACACGAGGGCCACACCAGTTTAAGATCAGCACTGTAATTCTGCTTTCCCAAATGGTTCATAGCAGCCCTGTTTCCTGCATGTAAATACCCAGTCACTTAACAGGCATCTTCTGAGGCCCTAGGGAAGGAAGGCAGGCTCACCTGTGCACCCTGTACACCAGGGCAGGGCACGTGGCGAGCAGCCCCCAACCACAGTTGCAAGACAGGCTAGCTGTCTTGCTAGTAAGGACCACACAGTGATTGTTCCCAGCCAATTCACAACAGTTACACGACCATCACAATCCAGGTGTAGAATATTTCTATTACCCTCAAACTCCCTCAGCAGCTACTTCCCTCCGCCTGCCTCACTAACGAGCTTTCTCTCCACGGATTTGCCTTCTCTAGGCATTTCATACCCACAGTCATTCAACATGTCTCTTTTTGTGGCTGGATTCTTTCAAGTATGTTTTTGAGGTTCACCCATGTGAGAGCATGGACCTGTTCCGGAGGGTCCTGGCTCGTGCGGGGGTAGGGAGAAGCCACATATTTCTGACCAGAGTGACCCAGTGGCTGTTGATGTCCACAAGAGGCCAGAGATAGGCTTTGTGTCCTGAGGACTCCCAGAGAGTCCTCTCAGCACCTGCGTCTGTTCTGACTGATACTGTAGGTATGCTCTTGGAGCCACTGCCCTGGTGTCCAGGGGTCCCTGCCCTTGTCCATGCTGGGCCTGCCAAGCTATCACCCCCTGTTTGAAGAAGGGCTTGGCCACACAAAGGGTTGCCTCCAAGCAGCCTTTCCTCGCTGCCCACCGGGAAGGCAGCTAATAGGCTAGCCCAAAAGAAACTGGAATGGCTGGCGTCTGCAGGTTCATGGATGCCAGCCTGTGTGGACATCTGACGGCATTTGGGTGTCTCCAGCCACCTTGATGACCTGGTCCCATGGTGGCTCCAGACCACAGTGACCACAGGTGGCTGAGCCCGTGCACCCCTGAGGGCCTTTTAGACCTGCTAAGCTTGCGGTCACCCAGCAGCAAAGCCCAGAGCCGCTGAGCTTGGTGATTTTCATGCTGCCCACCACTTTGATGGCAGGCTACACAGGGGTAGGGGTGTTCTAATTCAGGCTGGGCCATGTGACTGGCAGGGCCCCAGCTGTTGGGCCTGGATGGGGCTGTTTTTAGAAAAGCAACAACCCCCCCAATCCGGGCCCTCTGCTATTTATAGTCAGTCCCAAGGCCTGGGGAGTCAGTGCCCCAGGGCCAGCTTTTGGCCCTACAGTCGGTCTAAACCCCCACCGTGGGACCATCAAGTTACCTCCCTGGCACCTGTAAGCCTCAACTCACCGCTGGACCAGGACCCCAGGTCTCCCCAGGAAGAGGAGACGTGCCCCCTTCGCAGGCCTTGGGCACTACCCTGAGGGGACAACAGCAAGTACGCTTCCTGATGTGATATTCAAATTGGACATTCACAATGTTCAGTGTTATCTGGAAACAAAGCTCCAGTACCTCCTGGTTTCTCCTGCTACGGTCCCTCCCCCTCCTCACCTTTACAGTAGCTGTCCCCACCCACCCCCAAACACCCAGGCTCACCAGGCCATATACATCTCCAGGCCTGAGGTTAGCCATCCTCAGCCTGCTCTATTTTCCAGGAATCAAACCTTAAACCAGGTTCTCCTGGCCCTGTCCCATCAGTTTCCCAGGGTGATGGTGGCCAGGGTTGTTCAGTCTACATTCCACCCCCATTTATCTCCCCTGGTGGCACTGAGGAAAGCAAAGAGGTATAGTCTGCACATAAAGGTTGTGGCTCTCCTCTTGGGATGTAGTCCTGAAGCTCAAGGCTCCCTGACTGCTGAGCCCAGGGGACGAGTTCCCCAAGTGAAACACAGGGGCCTAGAGGGTCAAGTGTCCTGCACAGTAATGAGGCTAGCTGAGGACAGCCCCTCTCTCCCAGGCTGAAGGAAGGGGAGGAAGGGAAAATGAGTAGAGAGGAGACAGCAGAGAGGGCAAGCCACAGAGGGAGTGGGCAGTACAGTCCTCTAATGCATTGGAGTCAGTAACTCTGCCATGACCTTTGCCAGTACAGCCCAGGACATTCTTTACAGTGAGTGTCCAGTCTCCCTGGTCTTCTTGTCACAGGCCTAGGAGCTTCACTCTGTGAACCCGGTTCAGAGGTCAGGTAACAGGCTCTGGGGACCTTTTGCACTGGGAGTTGCCCAGGGAGGGAAGGAAGGGCATCTTCTGAACCCAGGACCCTTCCTAGGTCCCCCCTCTCAACCACAGCTGGCCTCCTCCCAGCCCATATCCATTTGAGAATGGTGTGAGGGGTAGGCAAAGCTGTGCATCCAGCTCAGAGCCCAGGAGCTAGACACCCCACCACCTTCCTCTTCCAGCTTCCAGTCCACCCTTGGGCTGGGACTGGACGGAAGTCCGGAGTGTGGCCTCTTGGAAACCTGGGCCCCACCCTGCTGGTGCACATCAGGTGATCTAGAATGCACGAGTTTCTTTATCCCACACTTAGGCGCTAAGGGCTGCTGGAAGTCCTCTTTGGTGCTAGAGCCCACCGCTGGCTACGGCCATACATGGCCGCAGCAAGCCTTGAGTCAGCGGGGTGGGGCGGGAGGAGAGGAGAGGGGTGCGGAGTGAATGTGTGGGCTGATGGGGGGCACTCGGTCCTCAGATAGGGCAAGTGTTTCCGCGGCCCCCAGGGGGCGCGCGCCTGATCGGGACAAGGGTTCACGGGCGGTCAGGCGCATCCCCGAGCTAACCTTTCAGGAAGGTGAAGACGCAACTCCCCTTTTACAAACCGTAGCAGTTTCTGGAACCCCGAAGTCCCGGGCCCGGCGGGCGGGGGGGCGGGGTCCCAGCGCAGCGGACCTGGCTGCGGGCCGGCGAGCGCGCATCGGCCCGGATTCGCATTCTCGGTGCGCCCGGGCCATCTGTTTGCGCGGCCGTCGGTCAGTGCCTCCCTGCCCCAAGGGCCCGCCACCCGACGCGGCTCCCTGGCGACGGCGAGGGGCGGGGAGCTGCGGCCACCGGTCACCGAGGCGCGTCACCGCGCCCGCCCCCGGCCCGCCCTCTGGCCTGGGCGGCCGCATTTAATGGCGGGCGCGCGGGCTGCGGCGGGCTCCAGGGCGGCCCAGCGCAGCTGACGAGCAGAGCCAGCATGTCGGGGACCCGAGCTTCCAACGACCGGCCCCCCGGCGCGGGCGGCGTCAAGCGGGGGCGGCTGCAGCAGGAGGCGGCGGCGACCGGCTCCCGTGTGACCGTGGTGCTGGGCGCGCAGTGGGGGACGAGGGCAAAGGCAAGGTGGTGGACCTGCTGGCCACGGACGCCGACATCATCAGCCGCTGCCAGGTGCGGGGCCGGGGCACCGGGTCCCTCCCCCACCCACCCAGCGAGCCCCTCCCTCTTCCCGGACCCAGACGGACCCTGTCCTCCCATGCCCTGACCAACCAGGTCACAGCCTCTTGGATTCCTTCCCTCCTGGAGCACCTTCCCCAGGGGCTGCCCTTCCCTCGCCCCCCGCCCCCCCGCACCTCACACACAAACCCCCCGTGCACTCACTCCCCTGCCTCCACCCAACACCCTGTCTGCTGCCCCCCACCCCCAGGCCGGTGGCTGGAGCCAGAGCTATAAATACAAGTGGCTGAGTTAGGGACACCTGATCCTTAGGGGGTGGAGTATGCCATGGGAGTGACACTGGGAGGGGGGGACCCAGCTCAGGGTGGCTTGAGGGTCCCTAAAACACCCCTGTTCCTCATTCTGAGGCTTTCATCTGAGGCCGTTTGGGGTCTGGGACAGGGCTGGCCCAGTACAGGCAGGGGACAGCGATCGGCTGAGGGGACCGAGAGCTGCTTGCTGGGCAGGGGGTGACCCTGGTAAATCAGCCAGGCAGAGGCAGAATGAGGGCTGGGCTGCTATGGGGTGGAGAGGCTGGGACAGGGGCCTGACTCAGAGTTCAGGAGGTCCTGGCTGGCCTTGGGGGGGAGGGAGGAGTCACATACTCTGGCTAGGGTGACCCAGTGGCTGGTGGTACCCACAGGAGGCCAGAGGGAGGCTGTGCTCTGAGAGCTGTGGCAGGGCCTAGGCTAGCTGCAGGCTGCTCTCAGCACCCACATGTATTCTGACACTGGACACTGTGGGAGTGTTCTTGGGGCCACTGCCTTGGTGTCCATGAGTGCTTGCCCCAGACCATGCTGGGCTTGCCATGCTGTGTGTGGGCTGTCTGTGGCCCCAGCACAACGGGATCAGCTTTGGGGTGCATAGGATGGGGCTATAGCCAAAAATGGGCAAAGGGTGGGAGTGGGACACTGGATGGAGCTCCTTCTTCCTGGTTCTGTGGTGGCCTCCTTGCTGAACTCCCAAGAGGACAGCTGCAGGCTACAACAGAGAATCAGCCCAGCAGGCTGCTGGCTCAGAGTTAGGGTTTCAGCAGACAGAGCTCAGCAACTCTCTTGGCCACACCTGTCCCACTGGGGATGAGGGATTTATGGAAAGATCTCCCTCCCTCTCTCCCTGCCCTAAAGCCCTGGCAAACAATTCCGTCCCTCTCTCCCAAGGACGCCCAGCCCTTAGGCCCCCACAACCTCCCCACTGCACATTCTGCCTGCTGTGTGTGTGGCAGGTCCTTGTGCCCTTGCTTCCAGGGTGTCCCAGTGCCGGGGCAGCCACAGCCCCTACCCTCCTTGGGTCTGTTTGCTCCAGTGGTGCCCAAAGCCCCTCTCTGGTCTGAGGCCAGACCTGCCAGCTCCAGGCAGTGTCAGGAGGACCCTGCAGACACTCTCTTAAGTGTCGGACTTAATGCTGCAGGGCTGTATCTCTAGCTGTGGAGCCAGTTCTGGGACAGTCCCTCCCTGCTCTTACCCAGGTCAGCAGACCAGTCCCGCTCACTCTCATTTGACAGGATCAGCAGAGGCCAGAGCAGGCTAGACCCAGTCACCCAAACTCGGGGCCCACCAGGCATGCTCTCCCCTACCCTGACTTCCCCAACTGAGAGCAAAACACGTCCCCACCTGAAAGACAGTGGAGCAAGGTACATCTCCCCTCCAGCCTCCTAAGGAGCCAGTGAGGCGGCACCCTCCCCTAGCGCTTCTTTACAGGTGGAGAAATTGAGGCTCAGAGAAGCTGAGGAATGAAAATACCTGCCCCTTTGGAAGCCTTGTGGCCCTTGGCACATGCCCACCATGATAGCCCTGGGTCTGCTCTCCTGCCCCTACCCCGTGGAGAAGGTAAGAGAGCTGGGATTCCAGAGCCGCCCGCTTGGGGCCCTGACTCAGCTCCTCTTTGCAAGCAAGGCCGTGAGCCCTTTCTTCCTCAGCGCCCAGCCCCTGTCTTGAATGTTGGTCCCCAGATTCCCTGAGTAGGCTGCATATAGAGTGAGTCATATGAAGGGACCAGAAGCCAGAACTCCAGAGGCAGAGGCCAGACCTCACTGAGGACCCAAGGGGCTGAGCAGGACCAGAGCAGGGGGCCAAGAGAACCAGTGTTGAAAGTGGTAGCAGGGCTCCGGGGCCCGAGTCCCCTCTGGGACAGGCTGGCTAAGCAGGAGGCAGCCAGCCTGCTAGTTTCCTGGGCTCCTGAAGGATCACTGGGCCTGGCACCTGAGTAGCAGCTGTGGCCTCAGGGCTGCCCTAGCCTCTAGAGGGCATAGGTTCTGGCTGCCCTCTGCTAACCCCACCAGCAGGCAGTACCTATGTCCAGCCTTCATGTCGTCCTTGTCCCAAGTCTGTGCTCTACTAACCTTGGACTCTGACTCTTTGCCCAGCCCAGCAGTAGCCTGGTTCTTGCCCTCCCACCTTCCTTGTTTGGGGCCAGTGGTCAGAGTGCAGCCCAGGAAGCACCTCACCTTCAGCATCTCTGGCCTTGAGTCTGACGGATTTCTTTGCCTTCAGGTTCCTGCTCCCACTAATTCAATACTGTTTGTCCCCTGATTCCACTGCAGCCTAGCCTCCTCACACCTGGGTGGGTTCCCTGGGTCTGTTGGGGGCTGGGCTGTCTTCCTCCTCCCAGGCTCCCCTCAGCTGCTCCATTGCCCCCCACTTCCCTCCAGACAAAGTCTTTGAACCGGAGCTTCTTTCCTGCTCTAGACCATATCCCAGCTCAAAGTGGTCACCTGCCTCAGGGTACCTATTCTCTTTTCTCAGTCCATGGGACTGTGAGCTATTCCCATCCTTTGTCTAGGATCCCTTCCACCTGCCCCTCCTCCTTTTGTGTCCTCCATGTCCCCTCAGATAGGCCCCTAAGCTCCTAGCAAGTGCTCCCAGGATGGACAGCTTGTCCACCATCTTACCTAGCTACATCCTGTCGCTAGTCTGGAATCTGCTCCACACCTGCTGTCTCACCAGCTTCTTCCTCCATTCCCACAGTGTAGTCTTCCCGCCTGGGACAGCCAGGCTTCCACCCACACCTGAGGGACTTTTAATTCTCCTCCTTTTGACTGCAGTGAACCTAGGGGGCACTGGGGCTCTTCCTCCTGACAAAGTTGCTGTGGGGGCTCTCCCTTGGTTTCCACTGTGAGCTCAGTTGCAATTCCCACTCCCCCACCCCACCCTCACTCCAGCTGAGCTGGCATCCAGCTGGGATGGGAGTCACCCTTGAGGAAGGGACAGCTTCAGGCTGACAGGAGAGTCGTGGCCATGGGTATGGGGCATAAGACCCCAGGGATTTCTGTGGTGTGGCGCGGCTGTAAGAGCTGACACACCTGCCCTACAGTTTGTGGGTGCAGTTTCTGGAGCTTTCTCCAAGGAAACGCTAGACCTTGGGCCCCAGGCTGCTCCAAGGATTTCCTGGAGCACCACCTTGGGCCTGGAATGCCTGGTATTGCTACAGAAGTATGTCTTCCACAGCCTGTGCACCACTGGTGGCCTTGGTCAGGGAGCAGAGGTGCCAAGGGAGAGGGCTCCCAGGGTCACACAGCCCTGTGTTGCCCTGGACTGGTGGGAACTGCATACTAATGCCTGGACCAGTTCCTCCGCAGGCCTGGGGGAAGGAAGGAAGGAAGGAAGGAGTGGAAGATAGAAGCCTGTGAGCAGATACAAAAAGGAAGTGAAGCACTGCACAGGAATGCTGCATGCTGGGAGCCAAGGGAGGGCAGTGCTTGCACCTCACAGCCACTGAGGATCCATCCAGAGCAGCATGAGGACCGTGTAGTGGTGGGGTCAGAGTCGGTTGGTAATGGCCGAGTGAGCCTGAGGGGAGGGACTCTGGCAAGTCAGAGGCCAGGAGAGCCTTCCCCTGCTCCCCCTCCCCGCAGCATGAAGTGCTCAGGGGCAGGAGTGGACAAGTGCAGGACAATAACTGGACAATGGAGCTAGGGATGTGTAGTTAATGCCTAGGCTCTGCAGGCACAGAGCACCTGCTCCATCCAGGACAAGCTGGAGACCAAACAGAGGGGGTGTGGAGGTAAGACGGGCACGGGTACAGCTTGTGGTATGGACAGACCCTTGCAGGTGGTGGAAGAGTGGGGCAGAATTTGAATGGGGTGGTCAGGAACCCAGAGGCAAGAAAGTAGGGGCAGAGGTCTCGGGGCCTCCAAGGCACACACATACATACACAGGAAGACCCACATGCAGCCTTACCCTGGATGGTACTAAGAAGGCAGTGGTCCTGGCCACTGAGGGGTCACTCCTGGCCAGCTCAGCCAGACCCTCACTGTTCCCAGGGCTTGTAGATGGCAGACCAGAATGGGGTGTGACCTGTGGCTGGAAGGACAAGCTATGGTTGTCTACCCAGAGGACTACAGGAAGGGTCCTGGCCTGAGCAGGCAGGTGGTTGGGAGAGGACAGGATAAGTCTGCTGGAGAGAGTGGCCTAGTAGGGCAGGAGGACTGGGGGCTTCTGGAGAAGGTGGGCACCAGGGAGGGGCAGCTGGAGCCCTGCTGGGCTGACTTAAGCAGACATAGGGAGAGACCAGAAGATGCTGCTCAGAGACCATCTCAGGTCTCCACTCTGCAGCACCCTGTGTCTGTCCTAGAAGTTGCTCACTGGAGCCCATGCTGGCTGTGTTCAGTCTCAGGCTTCTGTGTAGCTCAGGAGATGCTATGGGCTGATGGGCCTCCCTATGCAGGCAGAAAATCCTGTGTCCTGGATGCTGGGGTTGTTTTCAGGGCTTCCAGGGCCTTGGAGTGCTGAGGAGGGCATCAGGGGCTACACCCTACAATAAGGCACTCTGACTGCAGGCTGGGTGGGCGAGATCAAGGAAGAGAAGGCTGGGTGTCCACATTATAGGACTCCAGCCATCACACACACAGCCCAGAGACAGGGTGTCCCTACAGGCCTGGCCCCTGAGCCCCAGGGAGGCCAGAGCTGGCTTCAGGGCCCCACCTTCCTTATCCCCGAGGGGTGGAACACACTTCAGGGACAAAGCAAAGATCAGTACTGCATCGATTCCAGAGCAAGATCTGGTTTGGCCCTGGTCCCTCCTCATTTGTCCAGGAAGGAGGGAGCCCCTTGTTTTAAACTCATGGCCACCAGGAAAAGGGCTTTGACCAAGCAGGCTGGGCAGAGTCCTGGGGGACTTCAATGTCCACAGGGGCCTTGGAGCTGTGCTGACTCGAGGCCCCTTCATGGGGGAGGAATCCTCTGGAGGAACCTGGAGGTGCCATTGTGTCCAGCAGCCTCCTTGATGCCCCTGACCTGGTCTGAACCTCTCACGGAGCAGGTGACTTAAGGCAGGTGCTCTGAGAATCAGGGACCATCTCCTGACCTGGTCAATGGTTAGAGGTGCTGTGGTGTGCCTCAGGACCATCATACCTCCAGGGGCATCATAGCTATGTTACAGCACCCTCTGGAGTTGTGCAGTGCACAGCATATATGACTATTTGTGGCAGCATACAGCAAGTAGCCTTACCTGTTGACCATGCAGGGTGCTCTTCTCCCAGGGCAGCAGGCCTGGGCTTCCTAATCCACATGTGGGAGCCACAGTGAGCATCAGGAAAACACAGGACTCTCCACAGCCTCCTAGAGGATCTTGCATTGTGCCCAAGAGTGTGGCCTTCCCTGAGCTCGGGTGCTTGGCTCCACTGAGCCATGGCTGTCCCCCTGCTTTCTGCAGCATACAGGGCAGGTGGCTGCTGATGCCTGTAGAAAGAGGGGCACGCTGGCCAGTGGGTGGAAGAGGCTGGAGCCTGACCCAGGAAGGGCTGTGTGTGGACATGCCTGAGTGGGCCATCCCAAGACTCAACCTGGCCCTTCTGGCCGTCAGTTACCTGAGCCGAAGGAGGAGCAGAATGAGGGCCACTGCCCTGCAGATCCAACCATTGGGAGGGTTGTGGGACTGGGTGCAGACACTAGAGGACAAGGCTGGGCTGAGGAGGGGCCTCCCACACAGGGGGAACCCATACATCCCGAGGGCAGACAGGGTCAAGGAAGGAGGGAAAGGCTGGGAGAAGCAGTGTTCCAATGGTGGAGGGGAAGTAGCCCGTGCAGATGAGGTCCTAAATGCTGTGCCCAGGTACCTGGCATCCGCCTGCAGCCAGGGCCGACCTGATATCAGGATCCCAATGGGCCTTCAGGGGAGGGCCCAAAGCAAGGGATCTACCCAGGTCTGGCCTCCTTAGTGGCTGGCTGAGTGCTCCCACAGAGCTGAAAGCTGAGTTCCCTGACCTCCATATGAGGGCCCTGCCTCTACCTAGCCCTCAGCCTGCGTTGGCCAGTGCCCCCTTGGGTGATACTGGCTCTTCATGTTATTGAGCCATCAGTGAGCCCTCGAGAAGCCTGAGGCTCACAAAGCCCTTCCCACAGGGCTGGGCTTATGTCAAATGGAGACAGCATTTGCTCCATCATGAAGAGCTCTGGGCACAGAGCCCTCCAGAGCCTGAGGAGAAAGCCGAGCATGTCAATCCCACCTCCTCTCTTTATGAACCAAATGGTTGCAGACCAGAGCCACCTGTACTGGGTAGGTCTGAATGCCTTCCTCTCCCTTTTGGTGACCTGTGTCTGGTTGACCCTTGATGGCCCCCTTTTCTTTTGTCCTGAGAAGCTCAGACCAAGTCCAAAAAAGGCTGAGGGGAAGTCTTGTACCAGTCCCACCAACTGCCCCCATGTGGCCTGCCATTCTAACACCTTGATGGGCAGAGGAAGACAGATTGAGTCTCTCCAAGGACCATCACTCTGGGCTCTCCAGGGCTGAAAGGCCCTGCCAGTCAGCAGGCCCTGGGGCTCAGTGTCCCAAGGTGGCTTGTGCCTCAGGAATGGCCTATGCCTGGTGCCTGGGCCCTGCAGCAGCTACTGGCCCTGGTGTCACCTGACACAGGCTGGCCCATGATGCCTGCGCCTGTTCCTAGGCTCCTATGTTTACCCCCAACACAGATGGGTGGTACTCACTGCCTATCTGTGTCCTTGGGCCAGCTGACGTGGGATTTGGGCACTTGAAGAAGAGGTGGGGACAGGACATCAGGGCTCCCTGGCAAGCAGTTTGACCATCTCATGGTCCCTGGGGGCCTGCCAGCCTGAGGGGGAGGAGCTGTATGTGACGAAGGCGCCAGTCCAGGCTCTGCTGCAAACTTACCTTCTCTCAGGACCTCAGTTTTCCCCATCTGTCCATGGAGACCTCACCCAAACTGAATCCCAGATGAAAAACACGATAGGTATGCCTGTGCTCCATGAACCGAGGAAAGGATTACTGCACATGCCCCAGTGAAGGCAGAGTACAAATGAGGTCTCCAAACTCTGGGTTTGTGAAGGCACCTCATGGGCCTGTCCTTACCCTGACAGACTGACCCCACAAGCTCAGGGGCAGGACACAGGTATCTTCTGAGTTCCACCATCATTCCAGGTCCTCAGCTTCCCCTTTCTCCTACACTGCCCACCAGGCCTCCATCTCCCAGTAGCCCCTTCCTGGTGTGTCCCCTCTAAGGTGGCCCATACTGTTAATCTCTGAGCATCCACCTGCCACTCTTCAGGTCCTTCCTCCTCCCCATAGGCTTCCCAGTGTCACCACCACCTATTCACAGAGCCATCACCTCCAGGTCTCCAGGTGCTGGCTCTAGGATACCTGGGGAGAAGGAGGCACCCTTGTGCAGCCAGACTCACATGTGGATCAAGGCTTCCTACAGTCTGTGTTGGGGGTCCAACTGGAGCAGAATGTCTCCTGGGCAGTTCCCAGGGCAGTGCTCGATATGGCCCAGCATAGTGATTCAGAGGCATGAAGGACAGACCCAAGACAAACTGTGACACGTGCTTTAAAACCCTAATGCTTCGATGCCTGGGAACTGGGTCATGGAATGGGGCCCTTAGCCAGCCCAGTGTAGGCATCTGGTGAAGGCTGCAGGTACTGGGCCCAGAGCTACAGGCCTCGCACAGGGCAGGCTATGGGCAAGGGCGTTAGTTGTGTAGGGCTCTGGCCCTGCTGTTTAACCATGAGTAAGGTGGGAGTTCTTGGAGGGAAAGCCCCTCACCTGGGATCTCCTGCCCTCTCTCTGACCTGGCTATGTGGGCGAGCTGGGAAACTGTGATTGCTCTGGCCGTTATGAGGGATGGGTGGCTGCGGGGAGGAGCGCCCTCACTGAAAGTTCTGCCTTGGGCGGTGAAGGAAGGATGTGTGGGAGGCCGCTCTGCTGCAGTTGTGTGGGTGGAGGGGAGCTGAGGCCCCTCAACTCCATCAGCTCCTTATCCCTTCTGCAAGGCAGAAAAAGTGGGGTGTCTCTGGGAGGAGACCCCAATGGACCGGTAAGCCAGACTCTAGAGCCAGAGCCCTGCCATCGTGTTTCTGCTGGGAAATGGAGAAGGAAGGTGAGCTAGGCTGGGATGGGCCAGCAAGGAGCAAGACTGGAGGAGGTCAAGACTAGTCCAGGATTCTGGGCATCTCTATATCCCAGGCCGTGGGGGCCGCAGTGCCATCTGGTGGCAGGAAGTGAGACTGGAGGCCCAGGCTCCCTCATTACAGAGTCCTGGCTCCCTTCCAAGTTTTGCTGGACTGGATCATATGAGTCTGTGGTAGTGGCCAGAAGGTACCGAAGGTTCTCAGGAGGCACCACACGTTGGGGGGTGTGGAGGGGTGGCTCAGAGACAGTGGGTCATCTCAGGAGATGTACTCTTGCTCCCTATGCCACCTGTGCTCATCCGTGAAAAAAAAAAAAAATCCATGCAGTGTGGCCCCCCTGCCTGCACATGGGCTACAGCTTTCCCCAGGTGGGGGTGTTCCCTGACCCCCTCTACCCAACTGCACTGTGAAGGATATGCTGGACAGGGCCTTGCTGACTTGTACCCTGATGTGGGTAACTGGTCACCCCAGTCAAAAGCAAGTACACTTTGGTAACACCCACCCCCGTGGACCCCTCTATTTCATCTGCCAGCACCAGAGGCCTATGTCATGAGCTTCTGGGAGCCTAAGAACATAGTGTCCAAGGTGTGGAGTGGTGCTTGGTCAGGTGGCCAGTCTGTGGCAAAAACGAGGCTGGAGCCTGCAGCCCAGTCATGGGCTGCAGTTGGGCCATGGGGTCCAACTCTGTACTTTCCCAAAGAGATGGGCCCTTATCCCTCAACAGTGGAAATCTTGGTGGGAGGGGCTCTGTGCAAGGCCCAGTTGCTGGGGCCTGTGCTGAACCGTCCCCTGGTGGCATTGGGACCACCTGGGTCAGAGCCTCTCCCACCCAGGCCCCTGGCCCTTGGAGGAACAGGATGCTAACCCAACCCAGACCCCTGAACCAGAATCCCAAGTCCAACCCATGGATGGTGCCAAGAAGCCTCCTGCATCCTACAGGGACAGAGCTTGCCCCTGAAGTGAGGCTAGGGTGTTGGGCAGATCCCCTAAAGGTTAGTCCTCAGTGCTTGGGCACCAGCAGCTCAGTCCAGTCTTTCTTCCCAGGGGGGCAACAATGCTGGCCACACCGTGGTAGTGGATGGCAAGGAGTATGACTTCCACCTGCTGCCCAGCGGCATCATCAATACCAAGGCTGTGTCCTTCATTGGTGAGTGTCCCACCCAGCTAGCTGCCAGCCCCAGAGTGTGAGTGGACCGCCTGAGGTCATCAGACCAGGAAACCAACATGAAGAGGGGGTCTCATCGACATTGGGCAAGCACCTGGGCTGGGCCTCAGCCCACCCCCCGGCACTCATACTGGATCTTCTCCTCCTACGCCCCACCTCTGAGAGCAGACAAACCTGCAAACCAGAATGCAGCTCAGCCTGGGGTCTCCCCAGGGTTGCCAGAAGGAGGCTGTGCTGAGTGTGCAGAGCCCTCTGTATGTGTGTGTGTGTTGCTAACACATGTGCACATGCACACGCTCAAGCCAGGCCACCTTCCTGCTGTAAGCAGCCCCAGCCAGGTGGACAAGGCTGTGCTGTCTGACCCTGCCTGGGTCTTGAAGACATTACCCCTTGGGCTGCTGCTCCCTGACAGGCCTCCTTGGCCCTGCCCCCTCCAGTCCATGCTGCAGAGGACCTCCACCCCCAACACTGACCCCACTCCCCATCCAGGCTCCATGCCCCTGCCTGTTGTCCTGGCTGCAGTCATTGGTGACCTTATATGCCCCTAAGAGACAAAGCCATCTTCGTCTTGGGACTCTGTGGCTTCTCCCTCTTGGTCCCCTTCCCTCGCTCTTGATCACAGGGTTGCACTGCCTTCCTAGCCTCCGTCTTAGCTCCAGACTCCTGTGCTCAGGCAAGCTTTGCCTGGTACCTCAGGTAGGCCCAGCCACTTCTTGTCCTTGTCCTTCTGACTGCCCAACACACTTGTGACTCATCAGACCCCACCCCTACCCCAGTCAGGAAGTACAGACGTGGGCACTGCCTGATCGTGGCCAGTGGTTGGCACAGAATCTGGAAAATTGTATATGAGCAGAGGAAGGAAATCAGCCAAGACAATGGCTGTGAGTCGTCAGGGACCAAACCTGTCCCCTTGGTGCACACCTGTGTCTGGCCCTCCTAGCACAGGGCAAGGACAGGGTAGTGACAATCAAATTTCACACCGAATGGCCCAGCCAGTGAAGTAGCCTGCCCGACTGACCCTGAGCTCAGCCTGAGGCCCCAAGTGGCTGAGCCTTGGTGCTAGGGCGGTGCTTCAGGAAGTCAGTGTCAGTCTGATTCTGTTGTGCCCTGTGCCCCACTTGACCCAGATGGTACTCTGCCCAGCCGCCCAGGACAGGTCGGGACCAACGGTCAGAGCCCAGGCAGGGTACTCACTAGGGAACTCCAGTGAGCTGACAACTCCCCTGTGAAGCCTCTCAGCAAGGGGCAGACAGGCTTTCCACTTGCAACACTCCTCGCGTCTGCCACGTGGTTATTTTGAGATGCCATGGCATTTAGGTGACCTTTTGTGCTCACTGAGGCCTTGTGTAATCTCCGGTCATTCTGGTCTGGACTGATGTCCCGCCTCCCTTGGCCAAACCTGTGTCATGGCCAGCCCCACAAGACCAGCAAGGGGAGGGTTCATCCCGGGAGCAGCAGTAGTCTCTGCCGGGCTTCTGCCCTTAGAGAGACGAGCTGGAGTTCAGGCTCCCTTGAGCCCAGACCCCCCACACTAGCCATGCTGTGTGACCTTGGGTGAGGCACCTTCCCTCTCTGAGCCTCCCTGTCTGCGCATGCAGAGCATCTCTGAGGAGCCTCTTTAGGTTTATACAGATGGGGAAAGCACAGCTCCCAAGGTGCCACATGGGTCCTGGGGACTGCTTGGACCATGTCTCCAGGTCCTTCTTGCCTACTTTCATGTCAGTTCAACAGCTTTGCTGGCACATTCTTAAATATTATAAAATTTGCCCAATTGTGGGACCACCATAGTCCATTTCAGAAAACTGACTGGTCATCCAGATGTTGCCTGTGTGGTGCTGGCCATCACCCTTCCCCAGCATGGGCAGCCGCTGACCTGTTGTCTCTGCCGGTGTTTCTTCATTGCTCTGGGCTTGTTTTCACCGTTTTTTCTTGTGATAAAACATGCCAAACAAGATTTTCTTCTTAGCAACTAGGTATTTGGACTCAGGGCCTTGAGCTTGCTAGGCAGGCACTGTACCTCTTAAGCCATTCTGCCAGCCCTTTTTGCGTGAGTTATTTTTCAAGTAGGGTCTTGTGTTTTCACCCTGGCAGGTCCAGACCATAACCCTGCTACTTATGCGTCCCCCATAGCTGGGTTACAGGCAGGTTCCACCACACCTGGCTTTTCTTGTTGAGAAGGGGTCTCCATAACTTTTTTGCCTGGGCTGGCTAAAATCACGATCTTCTGGATCTCTGCCTCCCAAGTAGCTGGGATGACAGGCTTAAACAACTGTACCCAGTAAGAGCTACTATTTAGATCAAGTTTTCATGTGGGCTTTTGTTTTTTTGTTTTTTTTTTTTTTAGTAGACTTTATTTTTTGGAGCAGTTTCAGGTTCCAACAGCATGACTGTGAGGAAGACACGGGAATTCCCATGGTTCCCTGTCCCCATGCACAGCCTCTGACCCCCCATGTCAGTTGCTGTTGCTGAGCCACAATCTCATCACCATCTCGCAAAGGCCGCTGTGAATATGAGGATCGCCCCTATGTTGGATGTCCTGTGGGTTTGGACAAATGTGCAATGTCACGTGTCTACCACCATGGTGTCATATGGAGGAGTCTCACTGCCTAACCCCCTGGCTCCACCTGTTGGCCCCTCCCTCACCTTACCGCTGGCCATCCCTCATCTGTGCCAGTATCAAAAGATAAAATTACATCCAATTTAGTTTAAGATGTAATTGGCTGGCTTTTTGTTGGTTGGTTGGTTGGTTAGTTGGTTCTGAGATGTAGCCCAGGCTGGCCTCAAACTCACAATCCTCCCATCTCAACTGCCTGAGTGCTGGGATTACAGGTATGGCCAGATGCCCAGCAGTTTCTATTTAGCTTTTATTTGCCATTCTACAGTCAGGCAAGACGGTGTCATTCTAGAACAGGATGAGTTCTGATGTCCTGGGCAAGGGTGGTGGGTTCTGGGCACACGAGGGCTGAGGAGAGCAGAACAGAAGTGACTGGTGGTGTCAGCCTTTTCCTCACGGAGCTAGCAGAGAAGCCTCCTCACTGTGCTGGCTCCTGGGTTTGGGGAAATGGGTCCATTTCAAAATTGGTTGTTGTTAAGCCCTCAGCACAGCGCCTCTGTTCTGATCTGGTCTGGTGTGGTCAGGGTCTCACCCAAGACCACGGCTCCATGACCTTGCCTCACACCAGAATGCTGGGGAGTTGGAATCACAGCAGGAAGCCTCAGATGTTCCTTTTACATAGCAATCTGCATCTAAGTCTCCTCTGCGTCTTTTCATTTTTTTGAGGCTTGATGGCTCATTTCTCTCTCACCCTGAATAATAGCCCATTGTCGGATTGCCACAGCTTGCTTACCAGTTCACCCGCTGAAAGACGGCTTGCTTGCTTCCAAGCTCTGGCAGTTATGAATAAAGCTGGTGCAAGCACCCGCGGGCAGGCTTTTGTATGGATGTAAGTGTTCGGCTTTCCTGGGTAAATTTCCAGGCGCAGATTGTTGTGCAACCATCATCTACACAGTTCTCCATCTTCCCAAACTGACATGCGAGACCTTAACACCTGCCCACCCTCCCCAGCTCTTGGAAGCCACTATTCTGCTTTCCATCTCTCTGAGTTTGACGAGTCTGGGGACCTTGTGTAAGTGGGACCTATACTTCATGCTCCTTAATGTCTGGTTTATTTCACTGAGCAGTGTCCCCAAGCTTCACCCATGTTGCAGCATGTATCCGAATTTCCTTGCTTTTTAAAGCTGAATAGTCCATCGTATGGCTGGACCACCCATCCCTTATCTATTCGTCCTCAGATGGACACGTGGGCAGCTTCCAGCTCTTAGCTATTGTGAACATGGTCCTGCCCATCTCATGCTGTAGTAAACAAATTTTCAGGGCTGGTGAAGTGGCTCAAGTGGTAGAGTGCCTGCTTAGCAAGCACAAGGTTCTGAGTTCAACCCTCCAGTACCACCAAAAAACAAAAACAAAACTTACAAGTTTTCAGATACCCCTGACACGTTTTCTGTCCCTCATGTTACAGGCAATGGTGTGGTCATCCACCTGCCAGGCTTGTTCGAAGAGGCAGAGAAGAATGAGAAGAAAGGTAGGCTGCCCTGCCTGCACGCAGAGGTGCCTGACGCTATTGGCTGAGAGGGTGGTGGCTTCTCAGGCAGGCTGTGGTGATTCTGAAGTGCATAAAGCAGGGTCCTATGGGCAGTGCTGGGAAGCCCAGAGGTCCAAGTTAGCTGCAGGCACTGCCTCAGTGTCAGTCTGGGTGGCCCCTGCAGCCTCAGGCTCAAGACTTCCAGAGTGAGACCAGCCTCAGTTTGTGGGCCTCCCCTGTGGGGTGAGTCTGAGAGCCTTAACCAGAGAACAAGCAATGAGGACATGGCTGCAATGCAGATGGCCCTTCTGGCCTCTCAGCCTCGTGCTTACCCCGACAGAGCTAGGTGAGCTGGCACACCTCACCCAAGAGTTCACATCTGTGAACTCTGCCCACCTGTGTATACCCTGTCCCTGCAGGTCTGAAGGACTGGGAGAAGCGGCTCATCATCTCTGACCGGGCCCACCTGGGTAAGGTTCATACCAGGGGGCTCGGGACGGCCCCTCCTCCCTTCTCCATGGCCATGGGGTCTGGAAAGCCCACAGGGCCTTCCTTGCTCCATGTGTACCTTACTCCTTACCCTTTTCAAAGAGCTTCAAGGAAAGAGCTGGGTTGGAGTTCAGGGAAATTCCCAAGGCTCAGGGAAATTCTCAGTCAGGTCTGAGTGGGGTAGAGTGGCGCCTGGGACTCTGGAATCCCAGCGTCTGCTCCTGGCCAGGGCTCTGATGGCCACACTCCAAACCTCAACCACCCCTTCCTGGAGAAGCCTGCGTGTGGCAGATGAGCCCTCCTCGTAAACCTCCGTCCTCTGCTTCTCTCCTGCCCCTGCCTTGCCTGCGACAGTGTTTGACTTCCATCAAGCAGTGGATGGGCTGCAGGAAGTGCAGCGTCAAGCTCAAGAGGGGAAGAAGTGAGTCACACTGCTACTCCCACTGGGGTCTTCCAGTCCTGGGTATGGGGAGAGGGGCACCAACTGACCCCGAGGCCTCGAGAATAGCACCTGCCAGAGCACAGGGTCACAGGCTACTCTCTCTCAAGGGTCACACGCGGCCCTGGCTGACTGCCACAGCCTGGGCCACACTGACTTCACACAGGGAAACATGAAAAGAACTGGAACGGCCTAGCTGCCCAACCTGACAGCCACATTCTGCCCGCCTCACCCAATGGCCTCTCATTTGTTTACCCAGAGACATTTGTTAGAGCTGCAAATGTGCCAGGGACACAGGAGTGAAGCACACGAGTGCCCTGCATTGAGATAGGACAGTCTCATGCTTGCACAGTCACAATGAATATGTCTGCACAGGTGCACACACATGCACGGCACGCATACTTACACACGTGTGCACGTACGCACTTCCACGCAGGGAGACACGGGTAGCAGTTGCGACTGCCCTGAGCTTAGGGCCACCTGCGCAGACCATGTGGATACCAAAGCAGCAGCCAACGTATCGGCATCCTTGCTGCCAAGTGAGAGGGAAGCTGAGGCAGAAATGAAAGTGGGACACCTCCAGCAGAGGGCACTGCTGAAGGATGGGGGAGGACTAGGACTAGGGCTCAGAACTGTCCCCCAGCCCCTCGCCCTGGTGTTGCATGCTTACGGAGCCCAGGGATCCTCACGATGGCAGCCTCCAGAGCCAGGAGCCACTGCTGGCAGCCACCCTCACCCTTGCTTGCGCCAGCCTTTTTTCATGGCATGGACCTTGAGTCTGCAGGGGCCCCCAGCAGACTGGGAAAAGGATCCATGGGGCTCCTCACCAGCACCCATCTTTCAGTATTGGCACCACCAAGAAGGGAATCGGACCAACCTACTCCTCCAAAGCTGCCCGGACGGGCCTCCGCATCTGTGACCTGCTGTCAGATTTTGATGAGTTTTCTACCAGGTATCCAATCACAGCTCAGGGGCAGAGTGGGGTGAGGGCTGTGGGAGGCCAAGGCTGGAGAGGAGATACCAGGTACAGTAGGGATGAGGCTGCAGTTGACCATTAATAGTCACAGCAAGGCTTTTCTGTGCAGATTCAAGAACCTGGCCCACCAGCACCAGTCCATGTTCCCCAACCTGGAAATAGATGTCGAAGGCCAACTTAAAAGGCTCAAGGTAAACTGAGGGTGCATGGGATCAGGCACCGAGGGTGTGCAGGAGTGGGGCTGTGAGACATCTCTCCAGTGTGAAGGTCCTCCTAATGCTGGTTGAACACTATGGAGCACACCATGCCCAAGCATTATTCCAGGCTGGCTGTCCACGTGGGCAGCAGTGCCACCTGCCTCTCTGCAGCCTCACTCCACTGCCTGATCCTCCCAGGGCTTTGCTGAACGGATCAGACCCATGGTCCGAGATGGTGTCTACTTCATGTATGAGGCACTCCACGGCCCCCCTAAGAAGATTCTGGTGGAAGGTGCCAATGCAGCCCTCCTTGACATTGACTTTGGTATGTCCTCTGTTGAGCTGCTTGGGGGATGTGCTCACAGGTTGGCTGTAGAAAGCCATGCAGCAGGGTCACCTTTCGAGGCCGCAGTGCCATCCATGTCCACAAAAATAATCCTATTATCCTGTTTCCTAACTCCATCAGGGCGGGCTGAGCTAGGAATGAGGGAATTGGAGACAGAAGAGACCAGGAACAGGAGCAAGGAGCCTGGCAAGCCTGGGTATCTCCTGTCCACAACCCCACTGCATACTAGTCTACCCCATCTTTGGGGTGGCCACCTAAGTCTACACTGCAAACAGCCTTTCTCTCCCTCACCCCAGACTTCTATGTGAGCCATAAGCCTGGCACACAGTGCCCCATGCAGGCCACTGCCCCAGGATAACCCCTCAAACCACTGACCCTGGTGACCCCCACCAGGGTTAAAACTGCTCAACACCCTTTGCTAAGAAAGCCTCTCGGGTTCTGGGATCTACAGAGGGTGGCAGGCAGTCCCCAACCATTCTGTCCTGCAGGGACCTACCCCTTTGTGACGTCCTCCAACTGCACAGTGGGCGGTGTGTGCACGGGCCTGGGCATCCCCCCCCAGAACATAGGCGATGTGTATGGTGTGGTGAAAGCCTACACCACCCGCGTGGGCATCGGGGCCTTCCCCACTGAGCAGATCAATGTAAGTGCCCAGATTTGAGCTGCAGGAGGGCAGAACATGGGAGTTGGGGGTAGGGGCTGCTGCTGTGGGACCCTGCTCACCACTTCCCCTCCAGTGGGGCCCATCCTACTGTGTGGGTGGGGGGAAGGGAAAGGGTGTCAGTAAGGATCTTTGAAGGCCAGTCAGTTCCAATACAGCAGCAACACACGGGACACAGTGGGTGTATGCGTGTGTGTTTGTGTGTGCATGCATGCACATGTGACATATTCTGTTTACCCTGGGAAGTGTGTAAGCCCCACAGGCAAGGGGGGGTGTCTTAAAGACCCTCCAAAACCCTTGTTTGGGGACAGATACCTTCACTCAGAAAGGTTGCTGATTGCCTTCTGCTGGCCCTAGCCCTGGGGTTGGGGTGAGCTATTGCTGTCCTTTGGGGGGTCTCATGTGGCCCAAGGGTCTCTGTCACCACCAAGCTAGAGTCAGGGCTGAAAGAAGAGTCCCCATCCCCTAACTGTCTAATGGAGTGGTTCATGGCCTTCCTTCCTCAGCTTTACCCTGCCTTGTTAGGGTGGGGTCATGACTCTTGTTTCAGAGCCAGGAGGTGCGTGAGAGAGCCAGGGGTGGCGCTATGTCCAGAGAGGCATGCAGTTTCCACAGCTGACCACACAGGACAGGGGAGGAGATAAGCACACCCTGCCCCCTGCCCCACAGCCAAGCCGTAGGACCAGGCCCCACCCTAGTTTCCCATTCCTGAGCAGTAGGGAAGAAGGGAGTCCAGCTGCCCATGCCTCCATGCACAAAGCAATGCTGGGGTTCTGGAGTGTTTCAGAAGAGCTGCTGCCAGCTTAGAACTGCATGGAGAGTAGGGCCTGCCTTGTGCGCCTCAGCTGGGATATAGTTGCCAGACACAGGGGTGTGGGGATATAGGGAGAGTCCTGCCAGGGGACACATTTTCAAGGATTCCCATGCTAAGAAAGAGGAGGAGAGGAAAGGGCAGAGGAGGAGGGGGAGGAGAAAAAACCAGAAGCACAAAGGCCTGATGGCCTGTGGCAGGTCTTTGTTCACACAAAGGCCTGCAGGCATACATGGTTCCCACTGTAGCAGGTGTGGACAGTCCTCTCTTCTCACATAGGAAATTGGAGACCTGCTACAGAACCGTGGCCATGAATGGGGGGTGACCACAGGCAGGAAGAGGCGCTGTGGCTGGCTAGACCTGATGATCCTAAGATACGCTCACATGGTCAATGGATTCACTGCGTAAGCAGCCCTACCGCATGCACATCGCCAAGTGGCCATTCCAGGGCCCATTCACACAGGGACTGTCCCTGACCCTGAGACCCACAGGGCAAGGGGTGCTCAATTCAGGGTCCAAGGGCCACAGAATCCTTGTGCAATCTAAACCCTTATCCATGGCGAGGCCAAACCTGGGTTCATGGCATGGAGGCCATGAACCAGCTGTCCAGGATGTATGGAGGACGGAGGGCGAGGGGCATCATGGTGTTTCTAAGAGGGTTGAAACAGGTCACATATATTTTGTGAAGTAACCCAGAACAAAGAGTCACACTTCCAATAGAGAATCCCTGTTAAGACCAGGTGAGAATTAGTGTGTGGTCTGGGCAGGTAGATCTCAACACAGTGTAGGACCGAGTGTCAGGCAAGAGTCCCCTGAGGTCAAGGTGCCTGGAGCCTGGGTAGAGCAGGCTCACAGAGGACGGCATTTCTGGTAAGAGTGGATGGTGTGTGCTCCATCATTCATTCCCTATCATGTACCCCAAAGTGCAGCCACTGACCTTGTCTCCAATGGACATCCTTCTGGAGGGGTGGGAGGGCTCAGGGACAGACAAGCTGGCAGGTGGGAAGCAGACATCCATTTACCCTTGGTGCCCAGGCTCTGGGTGGGGTTTCTGAGCCAGGGGAGGACCTGGCATTTTGAGAAGCTTCATCCCATAGACAGCACCCTGAGAGGCAGCTGGGGAGAAGGACAGATCCAGATGGGCAGGAACAAGAAGGCAGGCAGGTCTCTTGGTGCCTTTAGCAGTACAGGAGACAGCTCACAGCCCCACAGCTCCCTGGCCACCAAGAGCTGACTCAGGTTCCTAGGAAAGATGCAGAATCCCGATAAGGCAGGCCCCCACCAAGCACCTGAGGTTCTCCCCTGCAAAACAAACCCACAGAGGGGACAACAGAGGGAATGGAGCTTGGGTTAGGACCACCATGGGTTCCCACCTCTGTGAGCCCCGAGGAGAAAGTCCCTCCCCACACACCTGCTGTCAGCTGGCATCCTGGAGAGATTTCCTGTGGGGGTGAGCAGGGCGACCCTAGGGGTTTTTGCAGAGGACTTGGGTCTGGCTGTTCAGGACCCTCTCCTGGTGTAGAAAGAGGCTTTGTTGGACATGGGGTTTGCTGCTTCCTTTCCAGCTTGGTAACATGGGCTGAGAAGACAGTTCAAAGCTCTCCTGGGTGGGTACAGAGCTAGTCTGCCAATGGGAAGCTGACCATGTGTTATCTGAGGCCTCCCATCCTCAGTTTCCTTTGTGCAATGTGGGGTTCCTGGCACCAGTCCCACACATTACCAGAGCCAACTCAGCTAGGAGAGACCCATCATGAAACCTGCCACAGAGGAAGGAAAAACAAATAAAGGAAAGAAAACTTGGAACACAGGGTGGCACCGAGAAGGACCCACAAAAGGCAGCTGCCATGTTGCACTGGCTGTGTCTGTGGGGCAGCACACAGTGGGTGGGAGAATGAGAAGAATGTCATGCTCATTGTGCTAGAATCCACATGCAGCCATGCTGCAGGGCAAATGTGGCAGGAGCCACAGATGGGAGACTGGCAAGGGGAGAAAGCCAAGATTGTTGGAAAGAGGTTCCCAGAGAGGGCATTTGAAGTGGGGAACTTAGACAGCCAAGTTGGGGTGTAGGCCCAGAGGCAGACTTTCCTGCTCTTCACGCTGTTCTCCAATTGCATTTTTTCAGGGGTCCTCTCATCTTTATTCCCAACCCACTGTAAATAATAGAAGAAACAAGAGGGTGAGAAACAAACCAAAAAAAAAAAAAAATGGCAGCATGCTGACCGTTTCTCTGCTTATCGCCTTTCTTGGTTTTGAGACAGGCTGGCCTTGACCAAGCTGGACATCCTGGACGTCCTGAGTGAGATTAAGGTTGGCATCTCATACAAACTGAATGGGAAGAGGATTCCCTACTTTCCAGGTACTTGACAGGAGCCCATGTTTTTTTCTGGTGGTTGAACTGCTTCTTTGGCATAGGAATAGAGGTGACCTGTGATTTTTAGAAAATGGGAAGGGTTTCATTCAGTCAGCACACAGAAGACAGCTGCTTGTCTCCAAAGTCCTGCCTTCTCCTGGCTTTGGTCTCTCACGGGTTCTTGAGGAGGTCTAACCGGTTCTCAGGGCACCTGCAGGTGCCTTCGGGTGGTTTGGAAATGGCTCAGGGGACAGGCCTGAGTGGGCAGCTAGGAGCCTGGTGACCTGGGGACCCTGGCCCACCTTGGCATAAAAGTCATCTGGAATATGCCCCTCAACTGCAGACAAGCATGTCTGACCTACTTCCTCCCTGGCAGCGATAGGCAGGCTGCCTCATGCTTGTCACCTCCAAGTAGACCTGGGTAGACCTAGAAGTGTTCCTTGGTCTGGGGAGCCATGTGCAACCTTGAGGCCCTACTGACCCCTGACCTTTGGAAGGGCACACTTTGAGACCCACAGAGCCTCCTGCTGGTGGTCTGGCTCTCCATGGTAGTGTGGAGCGCCCTGGGCAGGTACTGCCTGTCCCAGGCTCTAGAACCTTTACAGGTGCCATTCATTCCAGTGTCTTCCATCAGTAAGGGGGTGTCAGCATCCCTATAAGCCACAGGGTCCCAGCACAGTGCAGGGAGCATCCTCCAGTTATTGATGATCCCAGGCAGAGGGCATACATCCTTGGCTTCAGGATTCTGGAGTCTTAGCTTTCAAGCAGAGGCTTGGAGTTCCTCCGTTCGCGTCCCTGTGGATGCTCGAGCAGAGCAGTTATCAAGCACATATCCAGGGTGGATGTGCCCCTTGGTCTGGAAAGGACCCAACTAGTCTGAGCCCCACTGCTGTTCATTGCCCAATGTTCAGAAAACCAGTATGACCTCTGGCCCTCCTGGCTTCCTGCCTGCTGAGTCACTGTGTTAAGGAAAGTTCATGTCCCTGAGGTGGGACAAGTCTGTGGACCACCACTGATCCTGTGTGAACTCCCCAGCTAACCAGGAGATACTTCAGAAGGTAGAAGTGGAGTATGAAACACTGCCCGGCTGGAAAGCAGACACCACGGGCGCCAGGAAGTGGGAAGACCTGCCCCCCCAAGCCCAGAACTACGTGCGGTTTGTGGAGAATCATGTGGGCGTGGCAGGTGGGTGCCCCAAGTCCTTCCCAAGGGGTCTACATTCCAGTAGGAGGCCTACAGAGTAATAAGAAACCCCTGGGGTAAATGTATCAGACCAGAGGTAAGAGGTCCAGAGCAGGGCACAACTGCCATCCAGGGAAGGCTATCGGCAGCAACTCTGGCCAGGGAGGGGTCCTTAGTGACCTCTCCAGAAACAGCAGCCACCCAGGATGCAGATGGCAGGCAGGATACATCTGCCGCTGTGTGCTCACTTCCATCCTAGGGCATTTGTACCTATAGAGGAGCCTCAGTGGCAGCTGGGTGCTTGTCCTGCTTCCTGCTGCATGTGGATGAGCCCCTCACCACGGACTACCTTTATTATTTAAAAATTAAAAACGCTTCCCCTTGAAGGAAAAAAATAGCCCCCTTTCCCAGATGAATTACATAAAAGCAATGTCATTAAGAACAATTTCCTTGGTGGTCTCTGCTCCCACGTGTTTTGTAACCATTCTCTGTTGCCCTTTCAGTCAAGTGGGTTGGTGTTGGCAAGTCCAGAGAGTCCATAATCCAGCTGTTTTAGATCCAATGGAGCCGAGACTGGCAGGCTACATCAGCATTCGGTCCCCAAACCAGCAGTGCAGACGTGTTCCTCAGCCCTCACAACCAGCACCATAAACAAAAAAAATGTAAAACTGATTTTCTGTACTTTTATTTTTCTATTTAAGCCTTCAGCTCAACCCATTGAATTCTACAATGATTTTAAACATCTGAAAGTCAGCACTATGTACATTTTTAAAAATTCTACTATTTAAAATGAGCCTACATGCTCAAAGCAGAGTCCTTCTGTGACACAGTGATTGTCATATAGTGTGTGTCTGGTTGGAGCCATGTGGCAATAAACATATCCGGTAGCCACTGAGTAAGAATGGTCATTACGTGCTCGTCTTGACTTTGTCGTTGACGCTTTTAAATGCTAAAGGGCGACCACTCCCCATAGCCAGAGTCTGCATGAGGCAGCTTCCTAAGGAAAAAACCCACCCCAGTGTCTGAGAACCCGCTACTGCAGGCAGAAAGTGCCATGAGACCCAAGAGGCAGACAGATTTAGGACTGCACACAGTGCCATTTATTGGGGACTTTCAGATAGCAGCCTGTGTTGGACAGTAGCAAGACAGAAGATCCCACATCCCAAGGCCGGAGGAAGGGGTTTGTATACTAAGTTAGGTAAAAGTGGGCCACAGCCAGTTGAAATCTACCTGGCCTTTCTTAAAAACTATTAACATGGCCAACATCAGTTAGGAAGCATGTCACATGTCTGTGGCCAGCGTGTCACTCTTGGCTTGCAATCTTCATGAGGCTGTCCTGCAAGGTTTGGGATAGCTACAGGTCACCTGATAGGCAAAATGGGGGTTATGACCAAGATGGCTGTTGTCAGGTCAAGCTGGATCCTTGCATTTTGGTTTTACAAAGCCAAGATATGTATTTGCTCAGAAAATGAAATGGAACAAGCCCATGTAGGACAGACAAGAGTATTAAATGTTTTTCAAAGCTAACCACTTTAGCAAATTACACTCTAGCCCTACTACCAGGTCGGACCTATGGGGTGATTCAAAGCAGCCCTTCCTGCCCCTAGGGATGGTGAGCCCATGGGCAGCCCCTCTTCATTCCAGTTGGGCACTCCGAACTTCATTTTATTTAATCAGCCACTCCTTTACTGACCAGTCTCATAGTGCCAACTATGGTCTTTGCTCACAGGGACACAGACTGGGCTCCTCGAATGATATTCTGGAGTTCGGGGAACATTTGGAAAAACTGGCTGCCCTCCATATTCTGTCAGAGAGGGAAGAAGACACACGGAGAAGTGTAATCTAGCTAGCTTTGACTTTTCACACTAAGTCAATCAGTCTCACCCTGCTGAAGTGCCAGGTGGACTTGCTTTCCCATGGACTCTGCCAGCCCCAAACATCCTGCACACTCAGCCTGGATGGCCACACCGGGGAGAAGCCAACTCAGGCAACAGTGCCCCAGGTGGGTGGGCTCAATGTGGAAACTCCGGTGACTGCACACCACACTCACTGGCAACTTTTCCAAATGGTCCAAGATGGGCCTTCAGAACTCGAGAGAAGATGGGACTGCATGGTGCAACCCTCTGAGGGGAACCCACTTCCTCTCTGAGCCCAAGGCTCAGCTTCCTGGGCCCTCATGCTCAGTGAACACCACGGTTCTTTGGGTTTTCTGGGAATTACTTCGTTCCATAATATAGCAAAAGAGGAGAAAAAAGAGAGTTTACCCTCTTTTCCTAGTGGCACTTTGCATGGACAACACAGCCCCAGGATAGAACAGGGCAGTAATGATGTCTAGTCAACATACAGGTAAAAGGCAAATGAGTGATTTGTAGTGAATTCTCATAATTTTTTTGCCTCCTGGACATCCATTCTGAGTGCACTGAACTTCCTCATACCAGAGGCAGGCTCAGTCACCTTTGACAGTTTTTGGCTCTACACCTCCTCCCAGTCTTCAAGGTGGTCTAGACAGGTGTCATGTACCGTTGCCTCTCCCTGTGGGGCAGCTGGAGACAACCTCACCCTACCCTCTGTGCTGTGTGGGCTGTGCATATGTGCCATGGTACCTGTCATCCATAGTAGGACCCCTGAGGCTCTGCACCCCACTAGAACTCCCTGTCAGAACCTCATGGAAAGCTCTGTCCTGCAGGTCTTTCTCATTTCCTCCCACTCCTCAGTCCTCACCCGATGCCTGGGCACCTGGGGCCTGAATTGCTCCCCCTCCCACCGTGGCCACTGTCTTCTCTCAGGTCTGTGACAAACTGCTTCTGTCATTCTGTGGGGTTTGCTGAGCTGTCGTTTCTGTTTCGAACCTGATTCACACCCAAACCTGACCTCCCATCAGAGCTGCCCTAGAATGCAGCTATCTAGGCAGGAATAAACTGAACACAAGTCAGACAAGAGCCTCAGGGCATCTGCCAGTGCAAACAGCTTCCTGCAAGAAAGAGAAACACTGGTCAGAGCCAGACAGTCAGCATTAGGCTGCCCCCAGGATAAGAAAGTACACCACTGTATGAGTCAGTTTTCCTTGCTATGACAAAATACCTGAAAAAATAAGGGAGGAAGGATTTATTCTGACACAGTTTGAGGTTTCAGGCCATGGACAGGTGGCTGGCTTTGTTGCTCTGGGTCTACAGCAAGGCACAAACATCATGGCAGGAGGGCCTGGCAGAGGGAAGGTGCTTACCTTGTGGCAGCCTGGAGCAGAGAAAGGAAGACAGGAAGGAATCAGGAACAAGATATACCGTCAAAGGCTCACTCCAGTGACCTGCTTCATCCACCCGGGGCCCACCTTCTAATGGTCCATTCAGCATGAACTCACTGATGGACTAACCCACTGATAAAGTTAGCACCGTCATGCTGGGCACTGGTGGCTACACCTGTAATCTTACCAGAGGCAGAGATCAGGAGGGTCACAGTTCGAAGCCAGCCCAGGAAAATAACTCGAGAGACCCTATCTCGAAAAAACTCCTCATAAAAAAAGGGCTGGCTGTGTGGCTCAAGGTGTAGGCCCTGAGTTCAAACACCACTACTGCAAAATAAATAAAAAAATTAGGTTAACACCCTCATGATTCGATCACCTCTTAATATCACCACCAAATGGGGACCATGCCATCAACACATGAGTCTTTTAGGGAGACATTTTTTATCCAAACTAAAACATCCATGAAAGCTCGTGTGAACATCCTAGATCAAATCCCCTGGAGCCCCATCAGGCAGTGATAGAGATTATAGCTGCAATCCAGAGAGATATCGCAAAACCAAATTAGAGGAAAAATCACAAATACGTTACTTAATAAAGTGTATTTTTCCTAATACTTTGTAAAACTGCCAATTTGTTTAGAAGCTAAACATATATCTCCCTTCCACACTCACTGGGGCTTCCAACTCCCAGGTTCCGACCCATTACATGAACATGTATGTCAGAAAAGGCCTTAGACCAGACTGTCCAGAGAAAGCTGAGTTCATCACAGCCATTCTAACACTGGCTCAAATGCCTGACAGGGTGACCATCCAGGTAAGTAAACCGTAGTCTATCCAGACAGCTGAACATATAGCATCAGAAGGAAACAGCCACTGACAGGTGCAAGATGGAGTAGGAATCTGTGAGCTGAGAGAAGTAGCCAGACACAAGAACACGTACAGAATGAGACCACACACTGGAGATTCTAGAACAGGCATGCCACCCACAGGGACAGGAAACCGAACAGCAGCAGTCACTTCTGTCAGGATGTGGAGGGACCTGCAGGGTCACCAAGGTGTGTGTTTGTCATTAGAGCTCAGCCTGTACACCTACTTAGTGCTTGTTCTGAGCTAAATTGTGTTACCCTATTCATGCTGAAGTCCTAAACTCCAGGACCTCAGAATGTGACTGTATTTAGAGATGGAGTCTTTAAAAAGGTGACTAAGTTAAAATGGATTCTCAGGGTGGTCCTAACCCAACATACCAGGTATCCTTATAAGAGGAGGTCATCAGGACAAAGACATGCACAGAAGGACACAGTGAGGACACTGAGAAGATGCCAAGAAGAGAGACCTAGGAAGAACCCACCTCCAATACCTTGATCTCAGCCTTCTGACCTCCCCAAATCGCCAGGAATTAACGTTTGCTAAAAGTTTAAGCCGCTGCAGTGCTTAGTTTTGGCAACCTGAGCAGATGAATGCAAAGTTTCATGCACCCTCAACAAACAGTTCTTAATTTCAGGTTGGGTTGAAATACAAGAGGTGAGGTGAGAAGACCCTTTTAGCAGCGCCATGCTTTGCATGTGTTTACAGTGTGTTAAAAGATCCCAAGGCACTTACCTTCGCAGCATGTATTTACTCCATTATCTGATTTTTTTTCGGTGCCTTTTTTGCTTGTTTGGTTTTTGGTTTGGCAGTACTGGGAACTCAACTCACATTTGCTAGTCAGGAGCCCGACCACTGGAGCCACCTCTCCAGCCCCCCAAAGCACTTCAAAAAATCTGCTCTGATTAGGGAACCTAGAGACCACACCGTGCACCTGATCAGGGGCAGGAGGGCTGTGACGAGCGGACTCATAAGGGACACTGTGGACAGCACTGCCCGTGGGGCCGAGGCACACAAAGCAGCTGTAAGGAGTCTTTGGACCGACGGCCGCGGGAGGATCCTAGCCCGGGCTCACTGGCTGTGGCCTGGCCTCGCGGCCACGGGGACAAACCCAGAAGAGAGGGATGAGCACTGAACTGCTTCCGGGGTGCCCGGATCGGCCACGATTGAAAATCAGGATGAGGCGCACTGCCCTCACACTTCGGGCACGTAAACAAGGAGTATCACCAATTTTCACAGTTGTTGAAGTATCAAAACAACAGACACTGCGCCTTTCCTGCGCTGCACAACCCAGGAGCCCCGCCCCCGACCTAGCCCCTACTTATCCCAAGCTGTGCCTCTTACAAGTGCAGCCCCGGATCTAACCTCCAAACTATCCTACACCGCACACAAATCATTCCCCCACCACTCCACGTGAACCCTTAGCCACGCCCTTGGCTTTTCCCGCGCCCCCGAGTCCCGCCCCCGACTTGGCCCGAAGCCTATCGCGCGCCGCTCCTCGAATAATCCCCGCCCCCTGCCTCTCCCCAGCCTATTCCTCGCCTCGCCTCGCCCCGCCCTCGCTCCACAGTTGGCGCGCGGCTGTGACGTTGAGGTCAGCGCGCGGTGCGCGCGGCGGTCTGCGTCCAGCGGCCCCGCGGCCATGCCCAAACGGGGCTGCCCGTTCGCGGACGCTGCCCCCCTGCAACTCAAGGTCCGCGTGGGCCCGAAGGAGCTGAGCCGCGGAGTGTTCGCCGAACGCTACTCGCGCGAGGTCTTCGGTGAGTGTGGGCCGTCGCAGCTTCCCGGTGGGCGGCGGCCAGAGCAGCTGGCCCGGGACGCTCCTGCCCCGCAGCGCCAGCTTCCTCTTCCCCACTTCTTCCCTTGGTCTATGCCAAGCCGAGACCTTGACCCACGGAGGTCGCGCAGGCACGAGAGGCTCGGGGAGGGACATCCTGGCAAGCCCAGGAGTCGAGGCGGCACGGGCTGGGTGGCAGGGACTGGCTCAGGGAGATGCAGTCGAAGCTGCGTCCTGCAGGGTGATCCAGCCAGCGGGGACAAGAGCGGGAGAGGGTAAGGTGGTGGGAACAGCAAGGATAGGCCGCAGGCCTCGTTCGGGAGAGACGAGACCGCCTAATGCAGAATTTCAGGCGTTGATGTTGCTGGGCATCACTTTGGAGTGTTTGACCCCCCCTGCTATGGAAGGTGCAGAGTGGCGCTTGCTTTACCAAGTGGTTAGGTAGTGAGTGCAGTTAGTGAAAGATCCCGAGTGTTTGTGCCCTTGGGATGTGGGAGAGAGCCCAGGCTTCCAAAAGACTCCTCTCAAGGCCCCAGCTCTCCCCTTGCAGCTTCTCACTCCGTGTCTGCTGCTGCTGTGCCCTTTCTCTTTCTCTTTCTGCGCCCTGGTGTTGTGAGCTTTCAGAGGCCATGAAATGAGGTGATGAAATATGTGAGACTGAGGACTGGCTGAACTGTGAAAATGTGACCTCAAAATTACAAACATTGTGCAGTCAAAAAGAAGAATTAAATCGAATTGGAGCCTACGTCTTTCTCTACCCTCTCTCTTGAGCACCCCATCCTGGAGCACTCGCAGGGGCATGTCACTGACAAGCCCAGGGCCAGGAGGGTGCTGTGTTCTGGGGTGTTCCCTAGTAAGTACAGAACACACACTTTGAAGTCACATGGAATGACTTCGGAACCCCAGCCCACACTCTGGTCTCTTTACCTCGAATCGACCAGGAGCCCTTGAGGACAAGGACTAGTCTCAGCATATGAGCCCTCCTCCCCCCAGTTCCCATCCTAAAGGTAGGAGATGGCCCTGGGTGTAGCTGGGTCAGCCACAATATTACCTTCAAGTTTCCCACAGTCATTGCCTCTACTGATTTCACAGCCCCCAGCTCGAGGGCCAGCATTTCTGGGACTATTACTGGGCATCTGATTTTGTGAGACTCCCTTGGTGCCTCCATGTAGGTGGAAAACCACTGTTCCTGGTGCTGAGCAAACACTTCAGGTTCTGGGGATGGGCAAGCATCTGAGGCCCACAGAGGCCTCCATTGTCTGGAGCCTGCTGCTGCTATGTCTCTCTTGCCCCACTGATCAGTGAAGAGGATGCTCACTGGCCTGGGGTTGTAGGCTCAGCTGTGAGCCTCTGGCTACTTCCTGCCTACTTGGGGGGCCACCTGCTTTTGAGAAATAATGTTTCAGGGTACAGTGCTGACTCTGCATATCATAAGGCCATCTTGCAGAACAGGGAGTGCTGGGAGGGAAGAGGCACAAGCTCAGTGAAGCTAGACCAGCTGTGGTTGCTGAAAATTAGCAGACTGATCAGAGAAGGAGCCCCTTATTGGACACAGGTGGGTCCAGAGGCTATCGGGGGAGATGGCAGCTGAGCTGGAGAAGGGAGAGAGGAAAGAGCATTTTCAGCATAAAGGCAGAGGAGGCCCTGGCTCACCAGGGAACATGATGGACCAGGGTTATAGTCACAAAGAGGGACTTACTGTGCCTCAGTGGTAAGGCCATGAAATAGCTGGACGAGAACTCTGTGGCTGCACAGTGTAAACTCAGGGAGTGGTCTGTCTCCCCAGAGAAGACCAAGCAGCTCCTTTTCCGCGGGGCCCAGGCCTGCAGGGACCATGTATGGGTCGAAGGCTGTGCCGTTGTTCACCTGCCAGAGTCCCCGAAGCCCGGCCCCACAGGGGTCCCTCGAACCACGAGGGGACAGATGCTGATCGGACCTGATGGCCGACTAATCAGGAGCTGTGCCCAAGCCTCTGAAGCTGGTGAGTGGCCACCAATGGCTCTTCCTGGCTATGGCACTGAGGGTGGATGGTGGCAACAGGGTCCTGCCAGAGCCTGACAAATTGGGAAAACGGCTGGCTTGGAGGCTCCTGTTGTTGGGAGGCCTGACCTTCACTGATGGCCAGGTCTGGAGGTTGTTAAACAGGTGGTGCCCCACCTAACCTGCAGCTCTCACATAATCCAATGTGGGTGGGAGCACACTGGTCAGTTGTCTGTATGGGGTGATGCTGAGATCATCAGCTGATGGCTAGTTAAAAACAGTTTCCTGCTTTATCCCTGAGTCCAGGAGACCAGGTACCTCCCGGTTAACCAGTGAAGCAGTGGGCCACACCTTGAAACATAGACGGGGACACAGAATTTTGATAAAGGGATCAAGAAAGACCTAGCCCTTCCAGTACGAGGTACTAGCAGTAGTGCTGATCTGGAGTCTTGTGTCTCACCAGTGCAGTTGAACCCTGGTGCTGAACTTGGCTGGTAGTTGTCAGAAGGATCCAGTGGTAGATGGGGCTGGGCCCTCTGCCCTCAGTTGCAGGAAGAGAGAGACAGGTAGTCCTACAGCCCCTCATTCTTCTAGTCTCCTTCCAGGGTTGACAACCTGGTGTTTCTTCCTCACAGACTTATCTGGGGCAGTGCCAATTGCCTGCTCCTCATGTGTGCGAGCTGTGGACGGGAAGGCGGTATGCAGTCAGTGCGAGCGGGCCCTGTGTGGTCAGTGTGTGCGCACCTGCTGGGGCTGTGGTGCTGTGGCCTGCACCCTGTGTGGCCTCGTGGAGTAAGTGCATGGGTCCATAGAGCTGCTGGAATCATGGTTCCTTCCCCCATGAGGGTGCTGGGGAGCCCTGGTGTGCCATGCAGGAGTTGGGAGGGTACTCCATGGCTGCCATCTGCCATTGACTAGCAGGATGGAAGTTGATGGTATTAAGTGCTTTGCCTGACATTTTTCCTGAAGATTTAATGATCCTTTCTAAAGGAAACCCGAATTTCACAAATGAACAGCTGTCTTTGGTTTCCTAAAAACAGCTTCTTATCTTAAGCAGCTTCCTGCTTTGGTTTCTTTCTTTTTTTTTTTTTTATTTTATTTTGTGGCACTGGGATGTGAACTCAGGGCCTACACCTTGAGCCACTCCACCAGTCCTTTTTTGTGATGGGTTTTTTTCGAGATAGGGTCTTGCGAACTATTTGCCTGGGCTGACTTTGAATCCAATCCTCCTTATCTCTGTCTCCTGAGTAGCTAGGATTACAGGCGTGAGCCTCTGGCACCTGGCTGAGCTTTGGTCTTCTAAGCCTTCCCATTAGGACTATAAGAGCCAGCACTTTCTCACAGCTCCATTTCCTGTGTCTGTAGAAACCCTCATGTGACAGCAAGTACACGCTGCAATCAAGTGTGTACCACTTTTGTTTATTAGGTTATCAGTGGTCTCTTAAGCAGAAAATGGAATGTTGCTTAGCTCTGTGTGTGTGTGTGTGCACGCGCCCAAAAGCATGTGTGCATACACATTCTTTCAATGAAGCTGACTGGTCTGCTACTTACTCTTGCCCTGCCCTTTAAGGAAGATGTGCTCCCCAAAACATACATAGAATCGGTTCTGATGATCCAAACAAGTTCAGACCCAACAACTTGTAAAACTAACCCAGTAAAATTGAAAAACACAGATGTGTGCCACTGGCTCATATATAATCTTATCTACTTGGGAGGCCGAAATTGGGAGGATCGTGGTTAAAGGCTAGCTGAAGCAAATAGTTCAAGAGACTCCATCTCCAAAATAACCAGAGCAAAATGAACTGGAGTTGTGGCTTAAGCGGTAGAGCACCTGCCTTGCAAATATGAAGCCCTACCCAAAAAAAAAAAATTGAAAACCACTTATCACATGGAGAATGCTTTCCTTCAAGTCACTCTTCAGTTGGCGAGGCCAGGAAAACCCTGAAGGAGTGCTTCAGGAAGAAGTACCAGGCCCTGTGGTCAGGTGTGTGGGGTGACTCCCACCATCCAACTTGGGTTTGGGTGTTGGGTTGGTCACCAAGGTGGCACAGTCTTTCTGTAGTCTTCACAGCCTAATTCATCTCTTCTTGTTGACATAAGTCACAAAGGGCAGGGTCTTTCTGGTGTCCAGTGTATTCTCACCAGGGAAGATGTGAGCACAGCAGAGCAAGTTGAGGGGAGCCCGGGGGAGGGGGAGGAAGATTGGGAACCCTCATCCAGAGTCCTGTGCTGCCCTGTACATTGTCCTGCAAGGATACCCTAGTGCTCCTCCCAGCCTCTGCTTCCTCTTCCCTCAACAGCTGCAGAATGTACCCTGAGATGAAGTGGTGTGCCCAAGCTTGAATGCCAGGACTGCCCTCTATAGCCTTCTGCCCTCTCCCTCTGCAGCTTCAAACACAGCCCTGGATTCCTGGGTCAGGATAGCCAGCAGAAAACAAGGATTTCTCTCTAGCATGACTTGGGTTTAACTAAAATGAGGCCTGGCCAGCCACCAGCATCCTTTGGGTGGCTCTGTGCAGACCCAGCTGCTTTGTTCTCTGCGGGCTCCCATGCTGCTAGGTGCTGCTCTGTGGCTACCTGTGGTACTACCCACAAATCATCTGAGACATCATGTGGCCGGTAGTTGTGGCTCACAGTGTGTGTCTTTACTTATTTTGCTCAGTGTATTGCCAGCTTTCAGTGTCCCTCCTTACTAGCTGCTCCCTGTGATTGGCTGGCTCCCTCAGGGTCTTGGGCTATCAGAGGAAATCACTAACATGCTTCCGGGGTGACCCATTGTAGTCCATCGACTGCAAAGACTTGTAAGCAGTTTCTGGGAAGAGTCTTTGTGGCCCCGCAGCTTGGTCACTCCAGCACCATAACAAAGTGCCACAGACAGCAGCTTAGCAGAACTTACTCTCACAGTTCTGAGGCTGGAGGTCCAAGGTCAAGGTGCCAGCTGGAGTGGTTCTTGGGGCTGAGAGAATCTATGCCAGGCTTCTCTCCCAGCTGCTGGTGGCTATTAGCAACCCTTGGTGCTTCTCTGCCATGGCCACCTTCCTTCTCTGTCACCATGTTGTCTTCTTCATGTGTCTTTCTCTTTGCCTGACATTCTCTTTAGGACACTAGTCACTCTTCTCCTGGGTACCCTCATCTTAACTGATTATACCTGCTCACCCAGTTGAGCAACAGGGACAGCTGGAGCCCAGGTGTTTGACCTGTAATATGTCAGTGTGATACACCACCTTCCAAAGAGGGCAGTGTTCCCAAACTGTCCCTAAAATGCTACTGTCATATGAGCCAGTCTCCAAATAAGGTCACATAGTAAGGTGTCCTAGGGTTAGACTTCATTTGTTGGAGAGAGGCACAATCAGCCCCTAACACAGCTTTTCTGTATCTTCCCTGGTAATGGTGCAGCTACAGTGATGTTTGTGAGAAGGCGCTGTGCACCAGCTGCGCTATGTTCGAAGTCTGAGATGGCCATGGATGGCAGCCTCTCCTGGATGGCACACCGGGTGTTCGTGCTGAAGAGGGCAAGAGTGGCTTTTATACATTATGTTTTGTACCCTGATGTCAGAAATGAGTAAACCTCTTTATATTTGCATATGAGGACTCAAGTCTCTGTTAACCCTCCTTAGGGTAAAGTATGGGGCCTGCCTCGGGCTAGAGCCTGTCACCTGGGAAGGTGACAGTATTGGAGCCAGAAGAGCAGGCCTGGTTGCAGCACCTACCATCTGCTCAGCATGCATGGGAAGTCTCTGTTCATCATCCCACCTGACAGACAAGAAAGCCCACCCCTGAGTGTTCCTTTACAGCCTTGCCCAGGAGTTGGACTATCACCTGTGTGCTAGGCCACCTCTCATTCTGAAGTGCCACTATCACATGCCTGGCCTTTTGATACCTGCAGAGCTGGGGTCCCAGGTGACTTAACAGGAGCTCTGGTGTTATGGTGGGGGTGGAGGTGTCTGGTGGTGCTGGAAGATAACAATCCTTGCCTCATTTTGAGGGATGTACTTTGTGTAGAGCCTTGGGAGAGGTGCAGACAGAAGGGGTGAGGCAGCCTACTGGGCCAGAGCCAGACATCTGGCCAGTCCCTACACATGCATCCCTGAGGGGCCAACTTGGGTGAGGTGGGTCCCAGTCCTCTGGGGTGACTCTAACAGAGATGTAGGGGCTGTTGGCAAGGTGGCCTTGTGCCTGGGGAAAGCCTGCACTGCTAGAGACAGTGGGATGCACCAACCAGTTTTGAGGGGCAAGTAGTGCTGGTTCTTGAAGGAAAACCGGTGGTCTGGGGACAGTGGCCTAGAGCTGTGCCCAGAGTGGGTTTTATGGCCGGGCTGAGATGCTGCAGGCAGTGCAGGGTAGAGAAAGGGCCCATAGAGAGGTCATCAGCCAGCAAAGCTGCCAAGAATGGGATTTTATATACCGCCTGGGGTGTTCTCTGGACCAGGAACTCTGGACCATCTCAAATGGCTGCAGTGCTGTAGCTGACTGCCTGCCACTGTGTGCCAAAAGCTCCAGAAGCAAGGGTTTAGCCATGTGCTGGCTGTCCTTGTTCAGGCTCACCTGGCTTCCCAAGGAGGATCCAAAGCCTCCTTCCAGTGTCCACCTTCAGATCCCAAACCCAAGGCCCTCATTTCCATTGCCTCTGTTGCCACCTGTCCCCAGGCCTGCTCTCTCTGGCAGGCCCTGTCCATTCCCCATCCCCCAGCCAGCCCACCTGTGACATATAAAATGCCTACTGCCACCAGACTCCATTGTCAATCAGAGTCACTGCCTGCAGCCTGTCTACATACAGTGACCAAGTCCATCTCTCCTCTGCCCCAGTCTTCCAGTGGCTAGCCATGTCCCTAAAAATGAAAGCCAATGACCTCACCCCTCCCGCATCCCCTCCGTACATTCTCCCCAGTCTCCCCACCCCCAGTGCACTCAGTAAGTTTCTACCTCAGCACCCTTCACTTCCTGCTGGCGTCTTCTGGAGGAAGAGGGTGAGGGACAGGGCAGTCAGAGCTAGCACGCTGGCTCACTGGAGTGTAAAGTGACACAGAGCGTCCCTTCAAAGACCCGTGCATGAGGAAAGTCAGGAAAAGAACAGGTTCCCAGCAGGAGAGCCAGAGCTGCCTCCTTCACAGGGCTTAGCAGGGCATTTACTGCACGTTGAGGCCCCTCTAGCACCTGGCAGATAGCTCTGCCCCTTCCTGACTGGAAGCCAAGCCTGACAGAGGTGCCTGAACTTTAACAGCACCCCAGAACAAACCTCTTCTTGAGTACAACTCCCAAGAAGATAAAATTTACATTGTGTGGTGTCCAATAAAGACAAATATACAAAGAAACAGGAAAATATATGCCATGGTGAGGAACAAAACCAATCAGCAGAAACAGAAGTGACTCAAGTGGTTGAATAATTCCGTCTTACGTAGACAAGGACATCAAACAGCTTTCATGAGAGCATTCCTTGTGCTCAAGCACCAGGGAAATGGCATGCGAAGGAAGGGAATGGAAGTATAAAAATGGCCAGAACTGAACTCCTAGAGGGCTAACACAGTGTCTGAGGTGGAGAATACACTGTGGGACTAAAGCAAGATCAACACTGCAGAAGGAAAGGTCAGTGAGCCTGGGGAACACAACAGTAGCCTGTCCAGAAGGAGAAAGAAGTGGGAGGGCATGGGACATGGGAGGCTGAAGAAATAGCAGCTGGAAATATCCAAAATTGATGGAATATTAAGTCTACTGATCCAAGCTCAACCAACCCAAACAGAAACAAAGCATGATCAAATTCCTCAAAAGCAGTGAGGAGACTGGTGCAGTGGCTCAAATGGTAGAGGGTCTGCCTAGCAAGCATGAAGCCCTGAGTTCAAATGCCAGTACCACCAAAATAAATAAGTAAATAAAAATAAATAGCTAGAGGAAACAAAAGAGCAAAGATCAGGAACAGCAGACTAATCTCTAGGAATTAGGCAGACAGCGCTGCTAATTAAAAAGTTTTAAAAGAACCTAGGAAAGGCTGGGTTTGGGGGTACACATCTGCAATCCCAGCATTCAGGAGATGGCAGCGGGAGGCTCATGAGTTTGAAGCTACCCTTGGCTACATAGTGAGATCTAGAATTCAGTAGGCTGTGGCTTGAATATGGTGTGTCCCCTCCTTTACACCTTACCCAGACTGTCATACTGTGTTATTAGCAACAGAAAATGAACTAGGACCCTGTGAAAACACTTGCAAAGGAAGGGGGAAAGAAGACATCTCTAATGTGCAAAAAGCAGAAAGAATTGTAGGGAATGTCAGATAAAGCTTCCCAGGCAGAAGGAAAGTAATGCAGGTGGAAGCAGCCGGCAGGAAATGTAGAAGGCAGTTTTCTTATTTTTAAAATCCTGTTTTGTTTTGTTTTTTTTTTCAGTACTGATGTTGAACTCAGGGCCTTCACCTTGAGCCACTCCGCCAGCCCTTTTTTTTGTGATGGGTATTTTCGAGATAGGGTCTTGCAAACTATTTTCCTGAGCTGGCTTCGAACCGTGATCCTCCTGATCTCTGCCTCCGAGTAGCTAGGCTTACAGGTGTGAGCCACCAGTGCCCAGCTAAAATCCTTTTGAAAGACAATTGGAAATATATAGACCCCCTAAAGTTCAACAACAAACCCAATTCAAAAATGGGCAAAGGACTTGAACTGACCTTTCTCCAAAGAAGACACAGATGGCCAATAAGTACATAATCCTTACCTCAAAGCATCATTTAGGATGCAAAACTGTTTCCAGAAGAGCTGTGGAAGTGACCATCCAGAGAACGTGGGCCACCCTGGAGGCGGCTGTGCTCAACTCCCAAAGCCCCAAACTGTCACTCCCACCTTGGGGAGGAACATCCACCAAACCTACAAGACCGCCAGCCACTGGGCTCTAAAAGTCTGCAGCTGCAGCAGTCCTGGCACCTAGTGGCTGCCAGAGTAGTCTTTGCTGGGCCACACCACCTTCAGACAGAACAGTACCACAAGGCAACCACCAGGTAGCGCCACCAGCACACTCTACAGCCTGCTTTGTCTCAGCAGATTCCTGGCACTCTGGAGGTGACCTCGGCCCACACCTGTCACTCTCACCCCTCCTACAGCCCTTGCTCCAGCTTGCTCCAGCTATGTGACCTAGACTGGCTACTCCCTCAGGTCTCCTGGGCCCTTGCATTGTGGCCCCAATGGTGTCCCAGTCCTCCCTGGTGGCTGGGTCTTGTTCGCTGATCTGTTGTGATGGACAGAAGCTGGGGCTGTGGGCAGCCTGGATAACTTCATTTGCGAGGGTCAGGGAAGAGAGTTGGGTCCAGGGGGGGCAGGGACAGCAGGACATTACACTGTGTATCCTGTTGAATAGGTATCTCCACTTGAAGACCATCCCTGGAGCCAGGGCACATGACCTTAGCCATACCCCTTCAACCTCCATGGTGGTGGTACCAAAGGATGAGGGGCAGGGGAGAATCAGGTGCTCCCACGCCTCTCCCAAGCTACCCAGCAAAGCCAGCCAAAGCTTGAAAAGCAATTTTTATTGAAGAATTTGGAGGGAAAGTTTATTATAATAGTAAAAATGCTAAAGTTGAATGTTGTAAAAAACGGCATGGTGCAGCAGTGGCTGCAGCATCTGGCCAGGAGTGGGGACAGGCCAGGGCAACAGCCAAGAAGTAAAGCATCTAAAAGGATAAGTGCTAAGACAAGAAATCATCTGAGGTGGGGGCCCTCGATGGACACCACCAAGAGCCATGACACAGGAGGGGAACAGGCTTTCCTGTCACTAGATCAGAATCCCCGGAAATGCTCTAAACAGCGCAATCCACAGCTACACATTGAAGTCCTGTTCCTCTGTCTTCTGGATGAGCCCTGCCCCCATCCCCAGGTCCTGTCTCTAGGGCCAATGCTGAGGAAGTCTGCCCTCAAGAGGCACAGCCCAAGGATGAGGACGGCTGAGTGCCAGCCAGCACATCACAATGAGGTTGCTCCAAGTGGACCCTGGAGACAAGTGACATCCGGGATAGATGGCCCAATGGGGGCAGTGACCCTCGGGCCTCACATTGCACGTAGCTGCAGGAGTCCTTAACATTTTCCTACATGAATCTGTAATTGTTCTGAGGGCCGAGGCCATGTCTGGAGAACAAGTTGGATGAAATAAATTAAGAAAATCCGCAGGATAATTTCCCTCCTGACCTGGCCGGGAAGCAGAATGCCACCCACAGTAGGAACATCCTCCCACCCGCCCGTCCCGTCCCGTCCCATCCCGGAGACAAGTGTGGTTCCTCCCAATGCATCCGGGAAATAAAACCATCAAACAGATCATCCAGAGGTTGCTGGACCCGGAGATGCAGCGGAGTGCACAGCCTCTGCCTGGTGCTCCTCAGGCCGTGCCACTAGCAGAGTAGGAGAACTGGGGGAAGTGCGGCCTCCGCTCACTGTCCACACACTCCATGTTGTCGTCTGCAGGCCACAGAAAATGGCTCAGACCCAGACTCCAGAAGAATCCAGCCCGCCCACCACAAAGCAGGGAAGAGGCAGGGCCCACATGTGGACAATAACCCTGACCCTCTGCATTCCAGTCCCCACCTTAGTCACCACCACCCTCCAAAGTGGGGCTTGTCAAACATCTGGAGTTTAAAGCATCTGGAGCCTGCAAAGGTTGACCAGTGCTGGCCTCCTGGGCAGGGCAGGGCAGCTGTCTACAGGACAGCTCCTCACCTTGGTCTGGTGGTGTGATCGTGATCATCTGAGCTGTGAACTCCTCATCAAAATACCTGGTATCAGTTTCTGAGGTGACCTGCGGCTTGAAAGGTGGGCTGAGCTGCAGCAGAGGATAGAAGGCACAGGTTACCACCCAGCTCAGCACCTCCCAGTGTGGTACAAGATCCTCACCAGGGCCATCTACAGCAGGACTGACCTCCCAGGTGGGGCAGTGGAGGGAGAACCCACAGCAAGCAGACCCTCCCATTCCCAAATGGCAGGGATGACCCTTGGTGACTTTCTTCCTTTCGGTTACTTTCTCTGCAGATTTTCTCATGAACGGGGAGGGGAAGGACAGAGATGTGACAAACAAGGTGCCTAGGGTTCCTCCTGTCTCATTCATAACCCAGGGAGCACACAGAAGTTTGGCCAGCATGACACAGACACAAAACTAACTATAAAATGTGCACACGCAGGGGATATCAAACAGCTCCTTGGTCCCACTGGACTCAAATGCTGTCTCCCGGAGTCTGGCCTGAGGGCTGTGCTGCCACTTATGGACTCATAGGCTGGGAAGAGGGGGAGGAACACTGTACACACACACACACACAGTCAGGGCCAGGGGCAACACTGTACACACACACACACACACAAGTCAGTCAGGGCCAGGGGCCAGGGCACCCTATGCTGTGGGGAGGATAGAAGCCTAGGGTACTCAGTCCAGCTGGTGCCATGTGGCCTTTAACAGGCATTCAGGAGAGTAGGCTGCACACCAGCAAAGGTGTGCTTGATACAGGGCCTCTGGAACATCCAGGCACAGCCCTCTGAGCCCACTGGGCAGACCCCACCAGCCTGGTCCAGGACTGGGCTCCTGGGGCCTTGTAAAGACAAAGGGCAGTGAGTGCCCCACCATAGGGACATGTGCAGGGGAAGCTGCCTCTTCCTGGCCTCCATGGTGCCAGAAAGGCAGATTGCTAGCCAGAGTGGAGCAGGCTGCCCTTGCAACAGGAGGAACTGAGTTCAGACACTGGAGGAACTGGCAGAGAGCAGGGGTGGTACCTGCCTCTACCCTCAGCCAATCTTCACTCTGTGGCAATAGAGTACCCAATAGATTGGAGGTGTGGGAGCCTGTACACAGCACCTCCACAGGAGGACGGAGGCCCCTCCAGCTTCCAAATTCCACCGTGCAGGACCCTCGGTGCAGGTGTCAGAGGGGTGCAGCGAGGGCCTCCTGATTTGGGCCACAGCAGGCTCCAGACGGCATATGAGGCAGCACAATGACCCCTCGGTGTGAGTGGGTGTGTGAGAAGGCTGAGTGCATGCTGGTGTGTGGCTGTATGTGTGGATTAGCCCAGGACTGAATGTGGGCACACGAATGGGTACAAGAGTGAGGGACTGTAAGAATGGGTGTGTGTGTGATCCAAGGAGGCAGGGTGTGCGCAGGGTTCAGTGGGGAGCTCAGTGTGCACCTTCTTCTCGTACACGTCCTGCCACACGATGCTGGCAAAGAAGCGATGCTGCATTATCTCCTTGGCATCCTCGGAGCCCCCACCAAGCCTGCAGGCAGGAGACAGGCCCAGGGCTCAGTGATGCCCCGCTGCCCTCTACAGGGTGACAGGGCCATAGGGACAACACCCGCAAGGTGTGGCTTCCTCCCGGCCCTCTGCCTGCATGCAGCCCAGGAAGCAGTACGGGATTGTCCAGTGGAGGGTGGCAGCACAGCTCAGCAAGCAACCTGGGGTGGGCACAAGAGGCTGGAGCCTGTGGCTGCAGTCCTCACCTCTGTTTAGGGTCCTTCTTGAGCAGCCCAGCCAGCAGGGACTTGGCCTCAGGCCCAAGAGTGCGTGGGAAGCGGATCTCCTCCATGAGGATGAGCTCAAACAGCTTTTCATGGTCCTGGTTGTAGAAGGGCAGGCGGCCACACATCATCTCGTACATGACCACACCCAGCCCCCACCAGTCTACTGCTCGGCCGTAGTCATTGTCCTCCAGCACCTGGACAGGGGCCTTGGTGTCACTGTGTGCCTGGTACATGGGGAAGACGGGGGTAGGGGGAGCACAGGTGATGGCAGCGCACCTCAGGGGCCAGGTACTCGGGCGTCCCACAGAAGGTCTTCATGGTGGCCCCGTCCTTGATACCCTCCTTGCACAGCCCAAAGTCTGTGATCTTGATGTGTCCATCTTTGTCCAGCATGAGGTTCTCCAGCTGTGTGGGAAGGCCTAAGGTCAGCATGGCCAGCCCATCCCGCACCTGCCTCCCCAGACCGTGGTACATACCTTGAGGTCCCGGTACACCACGTTCTTCTCTGAATGCAGGTAGTCCAGGGCCGACACAATCTCAGCACCATAGAAGCGGGCCCGGTCCTCAGAGAATACGCGCTCACGGGACAGGTGGAAGAAGAGCTGCAGGAGGGGGGCCTGAGGCAAGGCGGCAGGGGAGCCCCCACCCCGCAACCCACAGGCAGAGGGCAGGGAAGAGACCAGTCCCCAGGAGGCCTGGAATTCTGGAGACCCCAATTCAGTGGGAACAGCATCCTATAGTAGGCAGATACACACTGCAAGCGTAACACACCTGGGCAGGTAGGTCTGTCCTGTACCACAGATGGGGCCTGAGGTTCCCAATGGGATGCACCCAACCCACAAGGCTGCCTGGGCCTCGCCCTACCTCACCACCATTGGCGTATTCCATGACAAAGCACAGGCGGTCGTGGGTCTGGAAGGAGTACTTTAGGGCCTGAAATGGAAGCATAAGCACAGCCATAGCCCCTCAACATGGAAGGAATGAGCTGCCACCACACTACTGCCCAGCAGCCCCTACTTCCCAAGGGGCAGTGAGGCACATTAAAGGTAAGCGACATGGGTCTGGGTTCAAGTGCAGGACAAAGTCCAGGGTCTCAGAAGTTGAATATGCCATCAGGTGGGAAGTAAGCAAGGACTTGAGAGTTTCCACCCTGGGGGTGCAAAGTTGCCCAGGTGGCCTTCACATCTGGTCCACAGGGGGCGTTGTTGGAAAGGAAAGGCCTGGTCAGTGGCCAGCTTACCCAAAATGCTGCCCTGGAACTAATCAAGCAGCTAGAGTTCAACTCCATGCACAGTAAACCCCTCCTGAACAGAGCCCTCCTGAGCAGAGCCTCCTGCCCAGGACAGGACCCCACCTGGGGACACGCCCCTCCTGGGCAGCGCCTCCTCCACAGAGAAACTAGCCAAGGACTGGTCTACAGGGGGACAGAGTGTGGGGAGCTCACTTTAGCAGAGTGGAATGAAGACCAGTCTCCTCTGTCCTCTGGGTACACTAGCACACTAGAGCCAGTACATGCAGCCCCAGCCCCACATCAGCCACTCCACACCTGACCCTTCATCAGCCTCATCTGAAACCCATGAAACATTTGCCCTGGAAGTCAGGACACTGTTTTTTAGAGGCAGCCCTGTGTGAATGACAACCTGACCCCTATCTCTCCATGACTTAGGGAGCCCCCAGTCTCACAGCCCCTACTTACTGTGAGGAAAGGGTGCCTGGAGTTCTGCAGGACACGGTTCTCAGTAAGCGTGTGGGCCACCTCGTCCTAGAAGGCAGGGGCAGGTGAGTGTTGCCCCACCTGCCCCCAGCCCTGCCCCACTCTCACCCGCCCTGTCCCTCACCTTGGCCACAATGACCTCTTTCTTAAGGATCTTCATGGCATAGTAGCGGCCCGTGGCCTTCTCCTTCACCAGGATCACCTTCCCAAACGTGCCCTTGCCCAGCAGCTTCAGGTACTCAAACTCGTTCATGGTCTGTGGACAGTAGGCAGAGCCCAGTCAGCACTCCTACTCACCATGGCCTGCCCATGGGGCTAAAGACCCCCAAACCACACCACAGCAGACTGGGCTGCAAAAAAGAGCAGGGCTTCCTCCTCACACCAACAAACCTATCGAGTTCAGTGGGAGTTCAGAGCTCATGACAGCACAGGCTGTGCTGCCCAGCTTGGAGCACTGGGGTTTGGGAGACCCTGCCACCTCCACTTCACCTCTGACACAGGGAGGGAACCAGGCCCTCATGGGGAGATGAGTGGGACTCCAGAACCTGCCAGGCCGCTCCAGGTGGCCTTAGCAGAGGTGGGGCTGGGCTCACCACACGATGCTTGGGCTTGGCCAGGGAAACTTCCATCTCCTCAGCCCCTGAGTTGTCACTGGGCGAGCCTGACCGGAAGTCCATCGTCTCTTCCTCCTGCCTCTTGAGTCCATCAGCCACAGTCTGGATGGCGGTTGTCCACTCTTCCCTGCAGGGAAAAGGTGAGGCCTCAGGCACCAGCAGAGGTTCAACCACAGCCATCACCCACCACCATCACCCATCGCCAGTGTAGCCACCTGGTACCTGGGCCTTCATACACTTTGGAGTGTACCAAAAAATCAGCATGCAGGAGCATGCTGGGGACACAAAGGTCTGGCCCCAGTAGGATGGGCCCCTCCCCACCCTGTTATCTCCTCCAACCTCAGTTTCCCCACTCACTCCACAAGCAGGACTGGGCTAGTTTCCAAGATGAGCACTGTGGGATCCCAGCACTAGGATTAAGGACAGCCCTGAGCAGAAAGCACACCTCACTGCCCTGGTGCCCATCTTTGGTACTGGTACTGGGCTGCCTCGCACCAGGCCCACGTACCGTTCCTCAGGCGTCTCCACATGGAAAGTGCGCTCAATAACTGTGGTCCACTGCAGGCAGCGGATGATGAAGGTGTTGGGCCTGGGCCGCTCTGTCTTCATCAGCTGGCATTCTGGGAGAGACCAGGGGAACATCTGTCTGCACATGGCCACCTGTTCCTCCCCACTACCCTCCCCACAGTTCTGAGCACCAGCCATATCCCATCAGACCCACCCACCCAGTCCCAGGAAGCCCCATCCCATCACCTCTCCAAACCTCAAGTTTCCCTAATGAAATGGGGCAAAGATCACCATTTTAGCTGGAATGCTCTGCTCTAAGAGTGTGTGACCCAAGAAGGTGTCTGAGGCTAGGTCACTCTGCCCCACACCATCACTGGCTCCTCCTTCCTTCCTTCTGTCTCAACCCCACCTTGGGCCTCAAAGGGTAAGGGGTGTGGAGGTCCCAGGGAGGGTCCTGGGAACACAGCCTGCCTGTTCCACCTGGTGCAAGAATATCTCACTGTTCTCCCAATTACAACTGAAGCAACTGGAAAATGCACCGACCTGATACACACACATATGCACATGCACACTGAAGCACACATACAAGTGAAGCAGGCACACTTGCAGTGAGTGGATGGTGAGAGTGGGCCCTAAGGGCTCTGTGCATTTGCAGAAGAACCTTCTCAGCAGGACTGTGTAAAGCAGGAGGGGTTGGGGGCGGGGGGGCCAGCGTCGGGGCCTCCTGCATTCCAGCGTTGAGGCCCTGGCAACATGAGGTCCAGCCAGGCTCTGCTGAGTGAGCAAGGGGGGGCGGTCTGCCAGGCCAGGCCGGGAAGGGGCTTGGGGCCCAGCCTTGGTGGGGGCCTGTGTCAACACAAGGCAGGGGAGGGTGGAAACCTGGCCTGGGTCTTGTTGTCCGCAGCACACAGCCTCCCGCTCACTCTCAGGCAGCCTGTCAGAGGCCTCTAGATGGGACCACCCCCAAGGAAAGGCGCCTGGACAAAGAGGCCCAGCACAGCCCACTACCCCATGTTCTGCTCCTTGCTGAGTGTGAGCCACCCATGGCCTTGTTTGGAGGCCCCAGCCTCACCCCTGCTGGGGAGCACCCTCCCCTCCATCCAGAGAGGCCCTCTCCTTCCTCCTCCTTGTCACACTGGCCTGGGCAGCACTCCAGGGTGCCTCCCAACAAGGCCCTGCCTCCTTACTGCTGGGCATGATGGATACAAGGTGCCTCCCAGCCCGGAAGGCCCCAGCCTGGACTGAAGGCCCAGGAGAGCCTGGGACAAAGGCTGCCAGAGCCCAGTGTCTCCTCCATGGCCCCAACTTTGTCAGACAGCCTTGGGCCTGCAGGGCCTAAAGCCAGAGGAGCAGGGAGGGGTTCAGGACCCAGAGGAAGCAGGTACAGAAAAGCCCTCCAGGGGACCCTCAGCCTCCCCATTGTAGCAAGGCTAGGCACACTGGGATGGAGAAGCCCGATGTCTACCTGGAGGCACTGAGGACAGAGTTGAGGAGGCATTGAGGTCAAGGAGCTGGACCCCAGAGCATATGGAAAAATGCTGGGGTGGAACCCAGGGCCAACACATGTGGGCAGCTCACTCTGCATCCCAGATTGCAGCCTGAGACAAACCCCAAGCCCACAGTCAGCAGTCCCCACCACTCAGACCCCACAGCCATTAGTAGTCCCTGCCACTCAAGATCCCAGGGCCCACGGTTAACCATCCCCACCACTCACAGGCATCCCACAAGGGGACTCTATTAGCCACTCAATTACAACCACACACCCAGCGGCATCCCGGCCAACCCTTGCAGAGCCAGGCTGCAGGACAGTGGCATGAGAACCTGGACAAGGTGGGAGGCTTGCTTGCCTCGGCATCCTACCCACCCAGGCTCTCATAGGTAAAGCTCTGTGGGATGCCCCAGCTGACCCTTTGGGTTAGCCTTATCACCCTTGTCCATCCCAAAGACAGGACAGACTCTCACATGCACACCGGCTAGTGGGGAATAGAGGGACCCCACAGGGGGACTCTGAAGACTTTGCAGGGAGCACCACAGACTCTTTCTGGACGTGACAGAGGCTGCTGGAGTTGGGGCCCTTTGTGCATCTTCCTCCTGCTTCCCCACCCAGGGGTGTTCCCAGGGAGAGCTCCTGTCTAGCTGTTTAGCCCCCCACTAGAGAAGGCCCTGGTCAGCATGTCTACCCCAAGCCCAGGCTCTGTCACCAGCCTTCCTAGCAAGAGCACAGGGAACACAGGGTCAGCTGGCCTGGAACCTGGCCCAGGAATCCAGACCTAGCTAGAGCTGGCTACCCATCAGTCCTAGCAGAGGTGACTCAGGAGCCAGTACTGCCTGCCTGCTCCCCAGGACATGGAGGCCCATGTCCTCACACTACCCGCGGTATCCAAAGGGACACTTACGTGCCACAGAGAAGTTGTTGAGTGGCGACTCACGCTGGTCCACATCCTGCGGCCGCTCCTTGTAGCCAATGAAGGTGCCGTCGTTCTTGAGGAGAAAGTATCGAGGCCTCCACGTTTTGATGTATTCCCCTGTGAGATGAGAGACCCTACTGAGTGGCCACAATGGCTGTTCTAAGAACACTGGGCATGGGGACAGGTGAGGGGCAGAGACAGCCCTGGGTCCATGGGAAGACAGCTCACAGAACTTAAGAGGGGGCCAGGCACCTGGATGCTGGGGAAAGTGCATGGTGAGGGGAGGGGGGTGGGGAAGAGGTCTGGGTCACCGACAAGTTCTTCCCAGATTTTGGGACAGTACCACTGTCCAGGGACTCAGAGCTCCACCTGTGGAGCAGAACCAGAATGCTCCACAGTTGGGCACCCACAGCCCTTGGCCCTAGCTGTGACCTGTGATGCAGCTGGCCAAGTCCCGCCCTGCGTCACCCAGGTACACAAGGACATTTTCCCTCAAGTTTTGCAACATCAGCCGTAAACAGGCGTTCACACTCAGGAATCAGAGCAGATGTCCTCTGTGATCTCCCGGCGACTGTCATTTTTCATACTGACACCCGGAAAAAAATATTTCATTTACATTTTGCCGAGCAAGGAGTCTGAACAACAGGGAACTAACTAATTAGGCAACTTCTTTATCTGAGGAGACACTGGGCAGAGGGCAGAGGTGCCCACCCATAGAGCTGGGGTCCCTGAGCTCTGGGGTCTGGTCCTCCTGCCATACTGAGTCCTAAACAAGGGCACCTGGAGGGACACGGGGGACAAGCAATGGCTTGCCACCAGGCCATACCACTGGGTCCTGTGGTATGACAGCAGATGCCTCAGCTCCCAATGTACACCAAGTCACAAGGTCTGGCACCCAGGGGCATGGGTACCAGCCCATGGGATTCCAGGGCAAAGCATTGTCTCCCACAGTCCCTGGGCACCAGGAACAGGCAGCACATGCCATTCCCTCTTCCTGCAGCCCCAGAACACCTAGCCAGCACCTCCCCCATTCTCAGCCCTCTTGTAGGCTGCACCAATCAGGTACAGACAAACTGTTTTGCAAGTGGGGTCAAGAAGCCCTGGACTATGAGTGGACCCCATCAACTGGGCCCTTCCTCCCTGTACACAACCCCAGACCCCACCCCCAAGACTCTCAGGAGCCCAGTTCCACCCATCTCCCAGGGTGTGGGCAGCAGAATCTCCGGGAAGCAGTTTACCTGCAAAGTCCCATCAATAACCCTGCTCCCCACCTCCTACCCCACAGCTCTCTGTTAACAGCTTCCAAAGGCCAGCCGTCCTCTGCAGGAGCCAGTGCCGGATCAATGTTAAGCGGCTGGCAGGGCCTGAGTGGTAGGGGAAAGCAACTGGGGGACACTAATACACTGGGGAGGGTCCTTCCCCATGCCATCACTGATCCACCAGACACCAGCACTGACATGGACCCCTAACCCACGAAGGCACAGGGAGGACTTGAGCACTGATTAGTGGGTATAAAGCAAGGTGCCCATCTGCCCCATGACACTGTGACAGGTGCCCAAATATGACAGAAGTTCCTCCAAGGGGACAGGCAAGATTCTGCCACTTCTCCCTAGCCTAGAGTTCAGATGTGGTCACCAAGGCACCTGCTTCCATGAACCGTTTCCCCAGCCCCAGCCACCTCCCATGACCAATGTCAATCCTCAGAGAGGATCCCTGTAACCCAAGAACATGGAATAGGGCCCCCATACAGAGTCTCCAAGCCCCATGGGCAGGTCTGCTGCACAGGCCACCCATGGACATCAATCCCAGCCACTGGCTCAGGCGCTGAAGGTACAGCTGGGACTTTGGGTGAGAGAGAACTGAGAAGGCTGGGGGATGCGAGGCCCACCCCATCCCATCCCAGGCCGCCTGCCGCGCATGCCCACCCGCCGGCGCCAGTCTGGAGCTGTCGGCCCCTGATGGAGTGCCTCCCATCTTGCCAGCTGCTGCTCCCCAGGATGCTAACTGAGCGGGGAGGCTGATGAGCACCGTATCCGCACCCCAGAAATCCATCTTGATCCACCACCTGCTGCCCGCCCCACTGCGCCCCCCAGCTCTGACCCCAAATCTGCCTCCTACCAGCTCTTACCCTACAAATCTCGTCCCCAGTCTGGATGGACCCCCAGACAGGACAAGCCAAAGGGCTGCTCTCACTTGGCAGAGGCTGAGATGGGCACCCAGCCACCATGAGCTCACAAGAGGCCTCTGAGTGCCCTTCCCTCACATGGCCCCCACAGACAAGGGCCACAAAGGCCCAAGGGACAGTGTGAACAAAGGAGCCAGGTAAGGCATCTAACCTGTGGTGGCCCAGCACAGAAAATCCTCCAGGAGGAAAGAAGGCCCTGGGGCCAAGCATACACACAGATCCTTCTTCATCTGCTGCCTCAAGGTCCAGCCAGTTGGTCACTCAGGAGTGCTAGCTGAGCCAGCCGTAGCCTGGGCCATGCCCTCATGTTAATGAGTTCAGCCCAGACAGGACACTGTTGGGTAGCCAGCCCAGTCAAGGGGCCCTAAGCCCCCAGCACCAGGGTGATACAGGACAGACAAGTGCAAGTAGTGGCTGCCCCTGGCCCCTAGTGGCCACAGGATGTGTGTGGGGCACACGTGTCCCACACAGGAGAGGAACAGACACTGGCCAGTACCCAGGCCCCCCCCTCCAATGACCCCTCACACTCCAACAGGAAGACACTGACCCTTGGAGCGCCCCCATCCTCAGTGCTGGATACTCACCCTGAACTTGGATACCTCATCCATTCTGTTCTTGCACTTGAGCTGGGAAACCAGGCCCACCCACCACATACACACGTGAAAGCCCACAGGGATGCACACAGACCCACACTGCTGGCCAGAGAGGCCAGGACCCCCTTAACAGGCCTATGTACCTGTATGTTCAAAGGTGACACACAGCAAGGCCAAGCTTTACCTCTCAGCATGCTGTCCCTCAAATGTCCCCACTGTTCTCAAGCTCATGTCACAGCCAGGCGACCTCCTTACAGCAAACTCTCAGTGGGCAGCACAAGTCGGCACACATGACGCCCAGGAGCTGTCCCTTCCACCCCCAATGCTCACCCCAGTACCCAGCCCAGACTTCACCCAGGTCCTTGCTTTATACCTGGGAGCTGCAAACCACACAGAACACAGCACAGTCCTGGGACCAGGCCTTGGCCCCAACATCACAGTGTCCATAGCTCCCTCCAGGCACATGGGCAGTTCAGTCAGGGGGCCACACCTGTGGCAAAGTGTAGCTGGCACCCACCCTCTGGGCACAAAAGAGGCAGCAGCTGTTCTACCTCTAGGATTCCCTGAAACCCACCATGGAGGGAAAAGAGCTGGGGGAAGAAGTCCATGCTATACTCAACTCTCCAAGACCAGGTCCTATCCACCCCCCAAGGAAGGGGCACGTGTGCCTGGCAGACCCAGTCCCCCCACCTCCATCCATCTGACCCAGGATAAATGGATCTTCAGTCTCAGCCCTGAGCCCCTCAGAATTCATGTGGCTCAGCTTCCTGGGCTCCTCCACCAGGGGCCCCTCCATCCCCCATTCATCACAACAGAGAAGGGGGCCTCCTGGGCTAGATGCTGGTGTTCCAGCAGGACCCAGCCCCACAGAGCACTACATCACGGCCACACAGAAGTGCTTAAGGAGGAGACAGGCAAGGCCAAGACCTCCACGCCTGGAACCTTGGCCATGCCCTAGCAGACATGTCCTGAGCATCTGCATCCCAGGCCTGACCTAAGTCCTTCTGAGCTGCCCAAGAGTGTTGGCCCTGCAAGCCATGCTCACTCAGCCATCACATCCTGAGTCCCCAGTTCTCAGGGAAACTGCTGGATAAACACTTTGCAGCGGTAGTGGTGGCAGGCGGCAGCTGGCGGGGTGCCAGGCGGCACCGAGCTGTTTCTCCACAGTAAAGTGAGCCCCAGCAGGCCCGGAGAGCGGGCACCAGCTGACAGCGGCGACCGCACGGTCCCCTGCCGCCAGCACATCCATCGCGCCAACAGCTGCTGGGTGCCCATTTACCTTCTCCAGCACATTGAGCAAGTGGCCCGCTGACGGCAACCTACCGAGGCTGCGTGCGCCTAGCCCTCACCGCCTGCCAACAGCGGACAACACAGGTCATCTCCAAGGCTAAGCCCGCCAGGCCTCTGTCTGGGCCTGCAGAACCCATGTACAATTACCTAGCAGGGTGGTAGGCCACAGCTGACAGACACTGTGACCAAGAGCTGGATGAGGGTTGGGGGGAGGTAGAGCCCCAGGCCTGGGGGGTCACCCACTGCTCTGCACCAGCCCTTCTGAGGGTGTGTTCACCATCTGGGTCCTCCTGGGGCAGGGAATGCATGGGCAGCTTGGGCAAAGAGGTGTCCACGCCTGGCCCAGCAGAGGGCCTACGTTTGCTGAGCCTGTTTGGGCTTTTCTCTAGGCATGAGCCCATCCTGCCCTCTGGAAGGCAGAGAAGGCAGGGTCACTGTGCCCACCAGCTCCCTCAGGATACTGAGGCTTAGATGAAGGGGCCCTCAAGCTAACAACAGGGGAGATCATGACCAGAGCCACAGCCCCTGCCATGGCAGCAGCATGGCTGAGGTACCTGGACTGCTCATCTCTTTTTGGCTACTCCAGTCTCCCAGGACCCATAGGATACCACACCTCTCAACAACCACCACCTTCAGCCCACCTCCCGGAACCACACCTGCCTACCACCTATCTTCCCAGAAACAAGCTTCCTCCACATACTGACCCCCACCATACACCCATCCCATCTCCAGGCACTCTGTCCCAGAGAGTGTTCTGCTCAGCTGGCTCTGGCAGCCTCTGTGTTGGCCGAGCAGCCCCTCCCTGTGCCTGCTGCCTGGCTTCTAGTCTCTCCTATATGAACCCAACACCCCTCTGACCTGTCTCTGCCTACCCTGCTTCTTCAGATACCTCTTCAGATGTGGCTACAGCATAGTGCCTGGGTGTCACCTGCTCATCCACTGACCCACTGTCCTACGCGGGGCCCCAAAGACTATAGCCTCCTGTTACTCACCCACCTCCCTCCCATCTGCCATTTGGCACAACCTGTTATCATTTACTCAGCTCTCTA